ATGTTTAAGGTTGAGTTCATTTTATCTACTTTATCTACTGTTTGGTTGTTTTATTCTACAGGAATGCATCATATTCTATAAGATCATCATGTGTTTGCAGTGTCACTGTCCTGTATTTTTAAAATGTCCATTTTTCATGAGCTCAGAAAGACAGGCCTGTTTTCAGCTTTGTGACAATGTGTATTCCAGCTAATCCAAGATTTATATAGTTTATATATAGTTGATTTAGCCTAGGTAGGAGAATTTTTCTCAACCCCTGGAAGAAAACTTTATCCTTCAGTTTATCACTAACATCCAACATCGCTAAATTTGGAGATACACGGTTTTCACTGGACATATATGGTATAAAAAATTGTAATCTGAAAGGCAACAGTTAGGTTGTCAGAAACATGCCTGAGATGAGTAAGTTGCATAAGTATAAATGTACTTTTACAATCCACCACTGCTCCCTATACTGTATATATCGAGTTGAAAAAAAACAATTCAAGTTTCCTGTAAGGTGACTTTTCCGCAGATTCCATCTGTCTCTCTCTGAGTGTCTGAGTTCATTAACACTGAAGATATGTAGCTGGCAGAATATTGAGCAAGAACATAGAGGTATCATATTGAATCGCTGCAGTAACAAAGGGAGTCTCATTTATTACTCTAAAACTATTACACTATCTAAAACATACATGTTGACTGATGAGCAAAAAGCATTAAGTTTTATCTTATTTTGTTACCCTTCTTTATATTGCCTTGTGTTTCTTTAATATAATAATCTTATCTTAGTCTTTTTTGGTACCACAAAGCACTATAATTACCTTATTGTTGAAATGTGTTGTACACATACTATAAATAATAACGTTAAATAAACATTGACTCAACAGGTCCAGTATTTGTAACGCTTCACTTTGCTTTTACGGCCCTTAAGATATTTAAGGATCTGTTGACACCCTGCACATTATATTAGCTTTCTGAAGAAAAGTAAGAAATCCTTTACATTTACAACCTTTTAAGGGAAAAACTGTCTGTTGGCAGAAATATAATCTAATAACACGTCAGCTAACAACACCTCAGCAAAGCAGTCAACTGAAAGGGAACTTTTCTCAGTTTTCCCTGTTAACTTACTCATCTGCTGTTTGTCAAAGCTGTGAACACAACACAGAGTCCAACTTTAAAATATTGTCAGAAACTCTCCCCTCTGTCTCTAGCTTGACCTCAATCTGACCAGTTTACCTGTAAATACTGTTGGCTGTTTGGCCGCGCCTACTTCAGTTGACCTGACCAATGAGATGAATCCTGAGTTTGACAGGACATTGTTGACAATACAAACATCAGCTGACAAACCAATCCCAACTCAATGTCAGCTTCGTAATGAGCTTTTTGCTCCACTACCTATTTGCCCATCACTTCTCAGATTAGGATTAATAGACATTTAACACAGACGATGAGTTTATCAAATGGTACACAAAGTATGAAACCAAAAGTATATATAACAATAAACAGATAACATAATGTTATCAATATGGGAATATAACACTGAGAGGGCATTGGAGAGCCTGAATACTTTTACATTTGATACTTTAAGTTGTGAATACTTCCATACCACTTAATGCTTTGAATGCAGTGTTCAATTCAGTACTTTTTCTACTTTTACTTACTAAGATCTGAATACTTCTTTACTGCTCAAATCCACGTAGACTTAACTGACCTCGGAAACAGCAGCTGACCAACCAATCAGCTCAAGGTCCACTTACTTACTTGCTCTTGACCTTTCAACCTTATACACATGAGCACATCTTTCCAAAAACTTAAATGAAAGCACTCACAGATGGGCCATTACCATCTTCCTGGTTACAGTACGACTATGAGAAATGTTTTTGTGTTGTAAATAATGTATTTATTAGTATTATGGTGAAGCTAATTTGAAACTGCAATGCTGCCAATACCTATATCTTTTTGTGTTCTATATTTAAACAGGAAAAGTATATAACTTTAAAGCTTTAAATTGTGGTGGTAACCAAATTAGCAAACAGTTTCCATTTCATCAATAATATTGTGATATTGTTAAAGCTCCAACCTGTGCCCTCTCATAAGAGTAATATACAACATATCATGCATATTAACAAATATTGTGTTTTAATATCAACTAACAAAACTGCTGCAGGAAAAACAAGAACTATGGGAAATCATGAACTAGATGAGGTTTAATATTCTGCTTGACATTTTAGCTAATAATAAACTGATGGATATTATGGCATTCTGTTCGTGGTTTATTTCCAGAGAGAGAGAAAAAAAAACCTGTTTCAAACAAATAATAATATGGGAAAAGAAACAGAGATTAACACACAGCACATCCTCTAATCCAGTTTATTTTCCTCAGCAGAAAATGGAACACGATAAAATTAAAAGGAGAAAATAGGACAGAATTATGTTCTTGCTTTTTTATACATTTAACTAAATATGCCACTCTATGCTAGGGTGTAAGTAACTCAAACTGATATAAGGTTAAATAATTTTTTTTCTCTAAAAGGTACAGAAAGATATTCCATTTCTTCCATTTCTCATTAGCACTCAAAAAAAAAAAAAAAAAGAACACATTTTTCAAAATATCAAAATAAGAACCAGCCAAGCTCCCTTTAACCTTCGCCGTGTTCTCATTGGAAAAGACGAGCGGGGTGGGGAGAGGTGATGGAGAGTAGAAACAATAACTTGTGCATGAGGATTAGCATAGTTAAGTGGTGTCTGGTTAGAAAGGGCTCTCCACCTCAATCAACTTTTCCAAAGTTAATTTGCAAAAAAAGGACGCTTTCTGATTTTCCTGCCATTCAAGGAAATCTACTGCTTCATGTTTCTTACTTCTCCAAATTGAAAAACAGTAATATAAGATTCAACATCATCAGATTGCATTTCCTGTGATGCTGCACAGTACGTTTTTAAAATGGAGATTTCGTACCTTTATCAAACAAAAGTATAGTTTTAAGTGCACCTGCAATGCGTGCTAAATGCCAAAACGTACGACTAAAATTTTAATTTAGAAGAAAAAGGTCGGATTCTGCAACGTCACAAAAGTTGATTTGGGTAGAACGCCCCTTCAGGAGAATCAGGAAGAGAGGTGTGTAACTGAACAATATGCACAGCACAAAGTCCAAGCAGTCAGACTGTGTAGGCTGATTAAGAGACAAACAATGACAAAAACATATGAGGAAAGGGGAAACCACTCAATTTAAGAATTCACATGTTATTTCTGCAGCCAAAACCAGCTGAGGCATCATCAGACACTGCAGACAGTTTGAACCTGTGATGTCGAGAGACGTACAACCTCGACAGGGTCCGACAGAAAACAAGAAATACCCAATGGACCGCTGGGAGCCTTAAGGTCACGTTTGATCTTGACATCTACATACACCCTCGGTAAAGGTTAATTAATAGCAAAACTGAACTGAAGAGAACCAATTATGGTTGATTACTTTGCTGAAGTGGCGAGTTAAAGAGTCCAGCCATAATAACCCCATTTGTATTTTTGCTTTAGGTGTATAACGTCTCTAAGTTAACCAGCTTTTGGTTCATTTCTTAGCCTTTTTCACTTGTGCAGTGTATCAATATGACATCACCGATTTAAACTGTGGGACGAAACCCATCTCTCTCTCTCTCTCTCTTCGATTTAGTGAACACTCATTAGCGGAAATGATATAAAAAAAGAAAAAAGAGAAATTATAACATTTCAAGAATTATATTTCAAATAGATATCCCCGAAAATTAAATGACATCTAATCCTACCCACAAAACACAAAATAAGAAATAAATTATAGAACAATTTAAAGGGTAGTAAGTAAGTTATGTATTCAGTTTTGCACTCTTGACTGATGGTCAACAACTCCGAGACACTCCGTGATGAACTCCGGGTAACTCTTTATATAAACAAACACATGGCGTTTTGGCGAAGAACTCTTCATTTGAATACAAAAATTCAGTCGTATTCCCCTTTATGTAAAACAACAGTACTACTCAGTAAATTGAAAAAGGGGAAGGGAAAGAGGGAGAAGAGGATCTGCTACACAGAGGATTTATCCGAGTGACTCATGTCCATTAGTGTGTTTTTTTTATATTTATTTGTATTTTTCTTTTTGTCAACAGTCCATGTGAGCAGAGGCAGGGATTGGCTGTATTGTCCTCCACGACACCGTAGTTAAGCAGTAAAAACAGAGCTAATCACCATGACGGCCACACGAAAAAAAAAAAAAAAAAAGGAGAGAGGAAAAAAAATAACTCAAACCATGACAGCATCCTTGGACTGCCTCACATTACCACACTCAAACCTGCACAAATACACTGTTGCTGGTACCATGCACGAGCAAAACATAGGTAGTGATGCTGCACATGGACCTAAAGGTTGGTGGAAGAAAAAAGAAGAAGAAGAAGAAGAAGAAGAGGAAGGCGGGGTTACAGGTTTGATACTCCAACCCCTTGATGACGACCTGAGGAGTGGTCGTGGGATAGAGCTAGACGCCTCACCCGCGACCAAGAAATGGAAAAAAAATAATAATAAAACAAATTGTCGAATGACAATCCAGAACGGATCAGTTCAGCCAAACGCTACAGTCCATCTTCCATAACTTCCTGTTCTGAAAAAAAGGAGCATGAGCAAAGAGGAGGAAACCGTGGCGAGAAACAGCGGAGCTGTGCATGATGTATGACTAACTGGATTCGTCTCTGCGGCGTCCTTCCTCTGAAGACTGGGGGGTTGGGTTAAGGCTGTGTGTGTGAACATGCGATACTGAACGTGGCTCCGCAGAACAACCAGCAGGCCCCCTGTTGGCCCCCACCCCACTCCCGAGCGGCTTCGTCCAGTGCCCAAGTCCAAACAGATGCTCCAACGCAGGGAATCAGGACATCAACAGGGCGGCGTCAAGCTCAGATCCAGAATTGTCAGGTCAGATGCAGGATGTTACGACCGTGCTACCTCCCCTCCTCCTCCTCCTCCTCCTCTTCTTCTTCCCTCCCTCCCTCCCCCCCCTCCCACCCATCACCCCCATTTGTCATTCCTCCTAGCTCTTCCACCTCCTTCTCCTCCTCTTTGTAAGCGCCTCATCTCTAACTGGATGGCTGGTCACGGTGTGGCCAATCAGGAGCACTCCTCCCCGATGCGTTGGCACGAGCGGCCCACCTTGCGGTCCAGCTTCACCATCTTGAGGACGGCCTCCTCACGCCCGCGGCCCAGATGGTCGAACAGACAGTCGTGTTGCTCGGGTAGACGGTGAAGCATGCAGAATACATAGCCTGGGAGGGAAACAGAAAGCAGAGTGGTGAGGGAGGAAGTGACCCCGATAAATGCTCCACTGTTCCCGCTTTGCATGGGAGAAAATATCACCGTGGATTTACCTCGGAGAGCTCGTTGCCAAACACAAACACAGCAAAGCAAGCCTCTTACTGAGTCCTCCAACTGATTTGCACTACTTTCCTCACTCAAATGGAAGGGAAAGGGACAAAAAAATTAAGATCCTAGATTTTAGTGATCCAGGAAAGGTGTTAAATTTACTCTGGGTAAATTCTATATAAAATTTGAAATGCGACCATATTATCTTAACTCAAGGTCTACTTTTCCCCCCAGTGGTTCCTAAATATGACACTGGCATATTTCAGATTTCATTTTAAGTAAAAATTGCAGTATGGTATCAATATCGGGTATGCGATACAGAAACAAGTAGTTCCATTGATCAGTAATAGGAATAAAGCTTTCAAATAATATAACAACATACATCATACATGTGGGATGTGCTCGGGTGTTTTGATGGCTTTTTTTTTTTTTTACTTGGGAAAGAACATTAAGTGGTTTGCCAATGCAAATGTGTGTTTCATTCACACGCATTATAGACTTCAATTTACTTTAAGTATTAACACTTTAATTAATCAGCTTAAAAGTATATCTTGGGTTTTTTTTCATTTGGGTTACGAACTGTGCCTTTAAAAGTAAAATGGAAAATATCTGCTCAAAAATAAGAATAAAAGCAGGTGCTGACATACCTGCTATAGGGCAGCGGTTTATGCATTTTCAGTTTTTCAGGTCAACCTCAAACACCACAGCAGCTGACTTTGTTGCTTGACACATTTTCAACCACAGTGGGTGAACACAGTCAGTGAATTTAAAAGCGGTGATATGAAGGAGAAAGTTCGTGCAGCCTTTAAAAATGACACGAGACTGAAAGCTACACTAATGTGTTGGTACTGACCACAGCGGCAGGAGCCCAGTTCCTGCTGCACCAGCTCTAGTTTGGTTTGGCAGCGATAGCAGCGCCGGCGATTCTTCTGCTTGGGCGTCCCGCGGGCCTCCTCGCTGCTCCCCTCCTTCTCGTCTGTCCGTGGCCGCTTCTCTGGCGTCGCCTCGCTCTCTGAGCCCGACGCTGAAAAACAAGCGGCGGGGTTAGCGCTCAAAGTGGGACAGGTCACGCAGAGCTACTGGCAGGAAGAAGAGGCTGACTGCACCTGATTCTCGTGGACGTTTTGTGGGTGTGCAGAGTGTGCCTTGGGCTGTTTCTGTGGACGACACGCCTACAGACGGAGAATGAAGAGACGTGTGGTGTGAGACAAGATATTAAAATGTTCTCTTCCCATACCATCCATCCATGTTGAGGGGAAAAAATACATATTACATGTTCTGATGAACCACCTTTTAAAGAAAAATCATTCGTTTTTTTCTGCTATTAAGAGCAACCTCTTTACAAAGTCTTATTGAACATAGTCCTCCATATTCGTTCCCCTTGTAAATGAAGACAGGCGACCGACTGTCACATATATCAAGAAACTTACATTTTTAATATTACTGATAATATTTGAGGGTTGAGTCATGTTGAGGAAGAAGCAGACACCACAACGGGAGATTTCAATGAACACTTATTAAAAGCGATTATTTAGTCATTAGATTACTCTTTAGATGTTCGATTTGAAAGATTTAATTATCCAGCAGGGCTAGATAATTGCACTACTTTTCCAAAGCAAATTACAGAACAAACATCTAAAACATTCTTTGAACCATTTGTAGTGGAAATAAGTCAATTCTCTTTCCCAATTGGCATGTTTCACTTGCTCAAAGAAGGTTACAATTTTAGAACTCCAAAATAGACTAAATAATAGTGACTTTGTAACACAGTCAGTACAGAGACGTACATGGTAAACACAGTGCTTGTACGAGTGGTCCGACCTCAAAGACGTCACAAAACTGATATCTATAAAAGTAACACTGCTGATGTAGTCTTGAGAATTACAGTATGAAATGATTTCCTGAGTTCTGCGATGCACTCCAGATTAAATTATGCTTCCTCGGTGCGAGCAGTCGAAAAGGTTCAGCGCCCCACCGGCCTGTGAACTGAACCCAGTCATAACTTTATCTCCTGTTTGTCACGCTCTATCTCACTCTGTACTTTCCCACTGGATTTAAAGACGTAAAGAATAGACAGTCCATTCCTCGTCAACAGCTTGTAGTGGATAAGAAGTGCGGCATGTATCCAGTTTGTGATAAATCCTAAACATTTTTGTCTTTGTTTTAGGACATTTTTTAGAACATAAAACGCTGCACTATTTTGTTTTCCTTGACGTGGATATCACTGGTTGTCCCATCTTACCTTCCCTCGTGCTGGGAAACGTGGGCGAGGGCTCTTCGGTTGATGGCTGCTCGGAGCTAGAGGGCGGCGACGACAATAGGGATTGGGTACTGCTACTGCTCGTCTCGCTACTGAAAACTGGCGATTGGCTACTCCCAGTGCTTTGGATAGGCTTGGAGGTACAGTCCTCCCCTGGCTGCTTCTTCTGGATATCTGTGGTCAAGGACAGCGAGCAAGCAAGCAGAGAGAAATATAAAAATAGGACAGGGAAATAGATACAGACAGAGAGGGAGGAAGAGAAGAAAAGAGGGACGACACAGAAACTGTCAAAACACTCAAATCTGGACTCATCCGCCTGTTTATGGTGCGTAGTGCAGAGATGCAGGCGCACACCCCAAACCTCCTGACTAAGTCTGTAATAACAGGTTATATGTAGTATATAAGTACAAGTGTGTTGAAAACAGGGTACCAGGCAAACATTACTGATAGTTTGCACATAGTAAAGCTGCACCTTTCAAGACATTTATGTATGAATATTCATTTAAACTAAGGAGACTTTTTACTGTCTGTGAAATGATTACACAACGGCTGCTTGGTAAATGTAAATGTGTGTACAGTTTTCCACTGTTAGTCTTGAAAACTTGGTTACCCCATTAAAGCAAACAGTTAGTTGCCTGCTTGTCTTTTGGTGTCAAACATTAAGTCACGTGTCAGTGCAGCAGAGAACACATCGGTTTAAAAAACTCTTCCTTGTTGGTGCATTTAGGGAAGCTCGGTCTGTGGACAATTAGCTGCTTCAAAAGATTCAATTCACGCTTTTTTTTTGGTCAAATTTGGTAGATTTGATAGAATTTGAATTAGAGCTTGAGTTGATTGGTCAAGTGGCATACGATTAATTGGTAACATTGAGTGCTTAAGTGACTATTTATTCAAGTAGTTTTTAAACAAATATGCCATTATCTCCTTGGTTCTACTTTAGTCCTTGATGATAGTAAATTGGTTGTCTTAAGACTTCCTCTAGCGCCCTGGAAAATTGTAATGGGCAGTTTTCACCACAGTGGTATGTCTAATAAAGACAAATTCAACACCCCAAAAGAAATACCTTTTCAACTTTTATATGTTCAAGTCTTCCAAGTCCCTGCTCTTAACTACATGACCACATGACTACAAGTTAACTTTGCCAACTGAAACATGACTTGGTAAGAGAAAGACATGATCACCTTGGAGAACCTGGCTGCACTTCAGACCTCTGTATATAATGATAATCTCGGATGTTATCGATCCATGCGAGTATTGTCTTTACTCTTTCCCCTCCAGGGAGGGTGAGGGAGGTCAGCCTAGATTTGAATTTCTCCTCCACGTGTGGACTAACCCACTTCTGCTCAGCTTCTATACTCGTGTGTATTGAGTCTATTCTGAGCGTTACTGCCGTCTGTGATGCTAGACTCAAAGCTGGGCCCTTAGGTCCTTGCTGTCTGCCATACTCACTGGTTGCCATGGCCACCGACAGGGCCGCAGTGCACCCTCAACCCATCCTCCCAAACCAGACTGGAGGAGTCATTGAGAAAACTCAATGCGTACCTTGACATTTTCAAACTCTAATTGGGCATTTTTCTTTGTCAGAAACCTTCACAAGCAAACTTCGTTTCGGAACAAAATGCTGAAGGAAGTTACCAGAGTAAGACTCATTGCTCTTGTTCCAAAGACTACTACTCTCTACAAAGCAATTTAAAGTAATTGTTTATCATAGAATCCGATATTCCCTAAAAAGGCAATTACCTTTTAACTTCCAATATTTTCCTCCAAATGGCAGATACATCATTCTGTAGTGAGACTACTTGGTCTTCCCATTTTCCCAGAATGGCTTCTTAGCGTTGTTAGCATTCCTAACCGAAATCAACTGGCACACCTAGCCTCAAGCTTCTGCTAGCTGTGTCTGTGAGAACAGCTCCACGTGCCAAGAAGAAACTTAACAGAAAAAACAAACGTGGAACTGTTTCCCCCATTTATATGTGACAAGAACCAGCTGAAAGTAAGCCTTAAAAGACGATATTAGAGGTTGGAAACATGAAATTTAATGTTCCCTTTTGCTCTGAGCATGCATAAATGAGTTCCTTTGCATCAGTTAACAATTGTACATTTTACAGGTGAACAACTCCAGGTAAGTGATGCAGAAGTTATTTTTTTTTTTTGGCTTACAGGCCTAAAACACTAGTCACATTTATGTGCTGTACAATTTCAGCTAACTGAATTTTAGAACAGGAGTGGGATAGCAAATAGCAGCTGATCACCTGCCACTGAACAAGAGAGCAACATTTCAATCACAGGCACGACTTGCCAGGTGTTTAACCTCACATCCATGTACATTTATTTCATGACAACTGCGACTTCAGCCATAAGGAAACCATGAGGTTCAAGTATTAGTGAAAATTATTTTACTAACCAGTTTCAAACCTTTTTTTTGCCATTTCTGTTTAACCACTTCTTTTTTTTTTACAAGATGATAATAAGTAATTAGCTTATGATGATCTTTGTAATTGTAAGACACAGTGTGTAGTGAGAGAACACTTACCAGCAAAACATTTGGAGCAGAGATTCATGGTTTTACTGGACCTGAGGAAACAGGTGAGAAAATGAATGTCATTGACCTCCTCCGATATCCAAGCTTTGCCTCTACTTGTTATAAACTTTTCCACAACATAAACCTTTTCTGATACAAACAAAAAAATAGACAATACCATGGCATGAAAAATGAAACACAAATCAATTGTATGGAGTTGAAAATGGGAAGAAAAAAAAATTGTGAACTGCACACAAAATAACCACATGATTATCATAAACGATCTGGTTAACAATTTTCTGGCATGTTAAATCTCTGTCTCTTTTGTTTCCCCACAGACCAATACCTGTATCAATTTCATACAGAGTGGCTAAACACAAATGTGGAAGAGAAATGCCGTTCTGGAATACGGCACTGCCTCCATAACAAACACTTGTAGGACCTTACCCCTTTCTCAATATCTCAAATGACAATTATATCAGACCCTGAGCGTCAACCATAACATCTTTCATAATCGCTTCTTATGTTTCATCTCAGCTACCCTCTTTGTGTTTGTCAGTCTGGCAACTGGGCCTTTGTGTCAATAAATTCATGGCGGAAGGACAGGAAATCACAGACGACCGGGAAGCAAGCGACTGTTATGGGGACACTAAAAATCACTTAAAGTAGGAGCCTACGGTTGTAATAAATTGATTATTTTACTGTTTTAATACTGTAATTTTCTGTCAATAGAGCTTCAGCACAAGTAGTTTCATGCAAACAGAGAGACACTTTTAGTTTTTTTCTTCCGACGGGCAGATAAAATCCATCTCCTGTTACATATTGGCGTTGATTACCGTGGGTCTTTCAGCAGTCAAACACGTAAGCGTTGAGCTATAATGTCACTAATCAAATCAAACTAGGTGTCGTGACATTATGGTGATTTTTAACGCCCATGTACAACACCTGAATATGCAAGCAGTGCATATATTTGAACAGTCATGCTAGATTTAAGCTCAAAGAACAGCTGAGGCTGACACAGTGGGGTTGAGTGCGACAAAGGCCAGCTTAAGATGACAAAAAGTACAGCTATGTCTGACCAAGAGCTGAGTATGAGATGTCCTAAAATGGCCACCGTACCTTTAGGGTGTGGCTAAACTATACTCAAAATGCTACTGGCTGCCTGGACGGCGAGGGGGGGGGGGGGTGGATGTGTAATGGATGCAGGTTTCACTTACAGAGTTGGGTCCTGCAAAAGCCCAGAGTTCTTTGTCAGTCACCTGTTTCAGTCATGGCTGCAGAGTAAGCCAGCCTACTTAGAGAATTTTCAACAAAAACACAGTGATTTTAAAAACGTTTTTGCCGTGATGGGCAATGATTTTACTGTGGCAGAGAACCACGAGGACACAGGGAAAGCATAGTCATTATACAGTCTAATAAGGAAACTACTAAAGATAAAGCATACTGTAATACCTCCGATTCGTTTAGAGCATCTATAAGACAACGGGCAGTTTTGTCAACCGGTGAACCTCTGCTGTGATTTTAATCTTTAAACATTGAGCGTTTCGGGAAATGTCCTCGTCTGTCTTCTGGTTTTCTTGGTGGTTGGTGGTACCTTTTCCTACAGCCGGTGTGCCGTGTCTTTCCCTCACCTTCTGGACTTCTCTTTAATGTTCACGCCACCACAATACAGCCATTTCTGTCAGCTGTGAGCCCTGTCAATGGCACAGAGGCTGGAACTCCGTAGGGGTTTCAGATCATTGTTCCTACAGGAGCTATGGGACTAATGCAGCAGGACAAGCCTGGACAGACAGCTTTTTCCTCCACCAAGGAAGTGATATTTTTCACCTGTTTCAGTCATTGCGTCTGTGTGTCACTAAGATATCTCATCATCCATGAATGATTCCTATGAAATATGGTAGACTGGAGGGCCCCTGGGCGAAGAAACAATTGATTAGACTTTGGTGGCGACCCCAATCTGTCATTATCATGTTTTTGCTATAATTATACTACTGCGTATACGGACTTAAAAAGGTGCTACTACCATTTTGTCCATCCCCATTTAGAAATGAGAGGCAGACAGAATTTTAGAAACTATAATTCAATCCACTGTAACACCACTGGCCAAGCAGCCTGAACAACTGCAAGAGCTGAATCAACAAACTCTGACACAATGTCAACAAAAACTGAACAAAGATATCATATAATCCAGGACTGCACAGGCATAGCTAATGAACTGGAAACGCCTCCTGTAATTCCTCACTGATAAAGAGCATGAAGGGTGATGACACTGCGTGCCTTCACTTTAAAACATTGCCATTTACAGTAAATCTAACTGATCATACTGGCTTCTCCTCAAATAAAAAGGTGAAATGATACAGCTACTTAAGGGTAGTCAGTTGAAATCATTTAACTCATAGTAGTCTACAATTGAGTGAACTAAAGATTTGATTCACTTGGTGTTACCCATATTAAGACACAGTCCATCAGAGAACCAACATAAATAAATCACTCTGGAAAAGTCAAAATCTTGACCTCCTTACTTGCAGACGTGCCGTGTAGTTAATTTAATCTTTCTTGTTTTCTTTACCATAAGGCTAAGTAGAAATATTTTTAAGAACGTGCCGATTTCCACTTATCTCTTTATTGAAGTGACAGACTGATAAGTTAGTGATAATTTATAAAGTATGTTTAGACACCAAATATGTCTTATCTCTGTATGAAAGACTTAAAATGTACATGTTCAATGGTAAGTTGTCGTAGCTTTATGACTATTATTGTGCTATATAAACTCTTGATGATATTGCATAACGGAAGTGAACAAAATCAAGTACACGTTATCAGTTGGCTGTCATGAGCAGTACACAGGGGGGAGAGGAGCACAGAGAGTCCCACTGTCTGTGTTGCCTTTCAAAGCCAAGCTAACGCTCCATCCCACGACCAAGCTGCATTCACATACACTGTAAAGTGAATTTTAAGCTTTTGCTTTGACTGCTGGAGTGTTTTTGCAGTCTGTGCCATTTGGCGACAACATTTCAATGGATGAGTTCCCTGATGGACATTTGCTGTGGCAACAAGAACCGACCGCGTGTGCGACAGCTCAGACTGACTTATTTCTTTCCACCATTTCCAGTTGTTTCATTTACTTTTCTGCCGACACACTCCTTTCTGCTCACTGCTGCTCTGTCTCTGTAGAGTCATTGAGTCGGACAACTCTTTTTATGCTGAAGCCTGCACCTTTCCATTCATTTTGACTTCATGCTGCCTCTAAGCATCACTTCATGTTCTAAAATGTAACCGAAGAGCAGAATCCATCTCCTATTCTTTGAAAATTGCAAGTTTGTGGCCAAGAAAAGTGTTTAGACAAGACATTTTAAGTGTCCACTGGAAAACAAGGATTTGTTTGTTTTTACAGAAACAAATGGCATTACGTAATGGACGTGTTTGACGAGAATGCAACCAGATATTAATATAAAAGTCACACAAAATCCTATTATTATTATTTCCAGATAAACATTTCAGAGGCTGAACTACTCAATATCCACATGCAAAGCAAAACTCATTGGAGACTATATTTTATAAGTATCCCTGGTCTTTAATAAAGCTTTAAAGGTCAAGTTTGTAACATTTAGGAGGATCTATTGGCAGAAATTGAATATAATATATAAACATACGTGTATGAGCCGTTTTATCTACAGAGGGAGCGAGTCCTCTTCCAGGGTCTGCCATGTTGAACCGCCACGTTTCTACAGCAGCCCAGAATGGACAAACCAAACACTGACTCTAGATAGTTTTGCAGTACGTTTTGAAGGCTGAGCTGCATTCAAATGGTTGCAATCTGAAACTTCACCCCTAGATGCCACTAAATCCCACACAGGGGTCTTTTTAAACAAAACCACAGGTCAAACTGAATTTAACCTAATAAGGTGGCCCCGAAAATGAGACTCAAAATGTTCTTTATGAAGCTATAATGATACAAAAAAACGAATGCACTTCGGCCCCCTGTCCTTCAATACAGGTAATACTCCAAGTAGGAAACTAGATGGGAATAATTGATTAGGCCGAGAGAAAAAGTACCACAAACAAGTCATATATCTGGCTACGGTGCTTAAAAACACACTGGGTTCATTAGATAGCAGCACGAAGAGTGCAAAAATACCAAACACAGATAAGATAGCAAAGAAAACAAGCCATTAACCTTGAACCTGAACTGGTGCTTCAAGTATTTTCAACATTTCTCCAATTCTCTCGGATGTAACGTTCAATATTAGCCAACTGCTGATTATGTCCAAGTTTCTTTACTGCAAAGTGTATTACTCAGTCCACCTTGGCCACAGTTCTTTAATCACCAAACCAACAGAAGCCCTATCAAAAATGTTTGTGGTCCTGTATAAATACAGAAATAGTATTGGTCAGGCTGTACTGCTGTATATATGTTTATACTGTCATATCCACCTACCTCATGTATGAACCAATTATTACTCATTTACAAACTATACACATGTACAAAGTAGTTTAATGTTTAGCCTTATAGCTTGTTGTCCTTGTATTTTACTGTATATATGCCTATTGATGTGAGAGTGAGTCAGAGAAGATAAAACCAGAGTCATATCCCTTATGTGTACAAATACCTTGCGAATAAAAGTGATTGTGGTTTTAGTTTCTCATACCTGTCTACTAATGGTGCTCATTAACTCCTCAGGTTACCATACCAACCGGGGGATTTCACAGATTAACACAGATTAACCCAAAGAAGAAGAACTAGTCAATGATATCACCTGGTGCAGTCTTTGATTGGACTTAAAACCTGTTTATGTACACCTTGTCAACGTTATTCGACTTTGAAAATTGTCAAGAATGTTTGATGAAAGTGGAAAAACCGAATAATTGTCACATCCCAAATAAACCTGAATACCAAAAACAAAAATACTTGAGTGTATCAGTCAGACCTTACCTTAACAAATCTGCTTAAACCACACACAAAAAAACACTGCATTTAGTGCTGGCATACAGTCCATACCTTAAAAAGACCTCCAATGCTGACTTTAACCCCTTCAAAATGCTAAACCTTATTCAAGCTGTTTTTTTTTTAAAGAGGCCTTGAGTTTCAGTGACATGTGTGAAGAGCCTGTGTGGGACAGGGCAGCCGGCAGCCCCAGGCCAGGTGTTATTCTGAGCTGAAGCAGGCAGGGCCGTAAACACACAAGGCTGCCATTTGTGTCACCTGACATTGACAGGTGGGTTTACTGGTTCCAGTTTGCTTACTGGACACCACAAAATGAAGGCAATGATGGGGGGGGGGCTTGAGGGAGGGGGGGTCGGTAGCTAAATGACAGAGATAATGGCTCTAAAGAAGGGGGCAGTTGTCTTAATCAATTACTGGTTGTATTTAACACAGTAGAAGTAGGTTGCCACCCTAGATTCACTAATATTTATGTAATGCAAACATTACTGGGGGTGTACAGTGTGTCTATGGTGGTCAGTAATAACATGACAGTAGTCTTTTCTTAGTATATAGGCTAGTTTTTTTTTTTTTTTTTGGCTGCTTTGGAACAACTTAAATCTCCATTAAGAGAAGCAGACAGTCATGTTTGGGTGTTGTTATAGATTAAAAAAAAAGGTCAAATGTAGTCATTTTCCTATGGGGTAACACAGGAGACATCAGTGAATCACATCCGGTATGCAACACACATCCACCACTTGACAAGACCGACTGTGAAAAAAAAAAAAAAAAAAAAAAAGGTCTAAAATAACTTTTAAAAAAAACTGATGTATCAGCACTGCTCGGATTGAGGATTTAACCAAAGTAACGCGTTAATGGCTTTATTGTTGATTATCTTCGAGGGGATTCAAGAAAACAAGGGCAGGTTTAAAAGGAACCTGCTGGCAATAAATCATGGTCTATCTCGGGTACGTCATCTCCTGCTTCACAAAATGCCTTAAAACGAGAAATAGCACGATTAAAAAAATAATAGCCGGGGTTTGGTACGTTCATAAACTTGGAAAACAGTGGAAATGTAAGGTAGTTTTTTTGAAGCTAGGTTTTATTTATCAGCCAACTTCCCAACCCCCCACCCTCGGCCTGTACAACAGAACAACAACAATGGGTTTGGACTAGTTGAACCCGTTGAGCATTCTTTCATCCGGATTTGCCTCTTTCAGTTTAAGACAGCAGCTTAAACATAGTTTATATATTAGCTTTTTTTTTTTTTTTTTTTTTGTGACTCTTACCCCCAAAATCCACACGGACACCGGGGAGGTAGACTCGGAGGTTTGCTTCGTTCACTTGTGTCTCCCATGACTTCCAACAAAAACCGATGTGGAAACGCGAGGCTTGGGGATGAGTCCGGGGCCTGGTCGTTCAATGAGGAAAAAAACGATCCGGCATTCAAGTTAGACAAAAAGATACACGTCCTCTTTGCTTTAAAGTCCACAGTTCGGGTGGAAAAAAGGTGGCGAAGCTGGCCCGCTTCGGCCCGTAAAATCCTTCCGTTGACTCAAACAAAACGGCTCAGTTTGAACTGGAATAATTGAACGGCACTCAGAGCAATCAGCTGGACGTTCGGACGTTACGACCGACAAACAAAAAGAGGGGGGCGTCCCGGTGGTTTACTCGACACTAAAAAGCGTAGAAAAATCGCAAGCCGTCCACCGATACGGGTTAAATACAATTGTGGCGACGTTATATGCATGGGAGGGTGCGAGAAAAGAAAAAATAAAGGGACTGAGTAAGCCCTTCCCCTCTTATCAGTTCATGACCACCCCTATTCACACGTCGCTGGTACGAAGTATGCTGGGCCGGAAACGAGTCCATCAAACCAGAAATGTCAATATTGCCCAACGAAAATGAGGCAAAAACAGAAACTGCCCCATCAAACGACCCAACCCCGATCAGAATATAAAGTGAAACATTAAACTCATGTATTCTCTCAAACTGAGTACAAAGACACACTGTGTTGGGGGGGGTTTTGACTGGCTTTGATCACTGGCTTCACTCACTGTAATCCGTTTTACCCGATTACAGTGAAGATTTAACGTTGTAATACATGTGTAATTAAAAGAAAATAAAATCAACTTGAAATAGAACCATCCTCGGCTTTATCAATTGGAAGACGGCCTTTAAACAAATACTTATATGTGAGTTGTGAAAGGAAATGCCTATACAGTATGTACATGACACTGAAATGTTCTCCACCAAATGCTGATTTATAAGTATTCAACCTGTACCTATTAACCTCCCTTCTCTCCCCAATCACTGCATTGTGTGTGTGTGTGTGTGTGTGTGTGTAATTTTGTGGTAGTTCTAGTTTTATTAAACCACCACTACTGATGTCATTGAGCAGTGCAACAAGCCGTAAACACAACCATGACACATCACCACCATATATATATATATATATAGCTTATATGGTGAACATGTCAGCAAAGAGTTTACTATTTACTCATCGAATACACACAGAGTAAGATTAGCAGCCATTTGCATTGATCTTTTGGACAGAAGTCAAATATTTACTCGTCCTTTTGCTCAAATCTTTTAGTCTCCGCCAACTCCTGAGGGCTATATTTTGGGTTTTTTAGCTACTAAATGCTCTACTATCTTTACCAGTTAGTTGCTAACTTCGTCTGTCTGCGTTTTGGTACTGGAAACTATTGGTTTATTTGATCTTTTCTTTCCTTTCTGCCTCCTGTAAACCAAAACAATGAGCTGAAAGAGGCTAAAAATCTCAGAAGAGCAGTTTGTCACTCGGTTACACATTGGCATCTGACTCATTAATATAAAAATATTGGTTCAAGCCGATTGAAGTTCAAATTCATTTAGCAATATGTTCCATGTACACACAAGTTTAACTGCAATAATAAAGAGCTAAACATTTGATCTTATCCCAGGGTCAAGATCGGCCCTTCCTTCTCTTTCTATTGTGCTTTTAGTGGTGGATATGACATTACTAAAAACCAGAGGGGAAGGGTTTTGGGGCAACCAGGCCAGGCCCGCATTACCCTTAAAATTTAGGGTAACTCTTTTCTGTCCCACAGTTGTGCAAACAGGGCAATTATTTGAGCAACATAAGACAAAAATGCTATCTGAGGTTCAAAATGAGATGTTTTTAAATGTTTTATGACAATAAAACAGCTCCTTGGGCAGCATTACACATCAACAGAGATCTACCAGGGCATCAGTGTCTGGAGCATGATGAATACATGTTGACTGATCAATCACTACTGTTGGTCTGTAACAGAGGCTCTCCAGAAGATAGAGATCACTGTATTGCTTGTATTCAAATACCTCCACTGTGTTTAACAGCAGCGATTCAGGCAAGCTGTGTGACCCCTCACAGCAATGAACATTAATAAAACAATGTCAGTTGTTTCATAATCACATTTTTGACAGGCAATGTATTGAACAAGAGGCAGTGAAATGCAATCACACGTCAATGGTCAAAACTAATATATATATATTAAGTAAAACTATACACATACATAAAGGTAGATGGGGGGGTGGGGAGTGTGTTCTCTATATTACAATGTAACCTGAACAAAGCCCTATTTCAGTTCTCTAGTTAGTTATTAAGGAAGACTTTATCCAACTATAGGTAATCTTCTAAAATGTAGATTGGGATGACTAAACAATGCTTATAAAAACATCAGCGGGTCACCCAGGGTAGTTAGGTATTTCAGGTTACTTAACATCAAATAAAAGGTTTGAAACAAAGGAGTTTTTCAAGACAAACAACTCAGAAGTGCAACATCAGGACACAAAGGAAAACAAACAGGAACCACAGCGCTGATAGCTTAATTTAAAAACAAACTTCCAAAAAAAAAAAAAACACACAAAACACAGCTCAAACCTGACAGATCCACGAGCGAGGAAGTGTTTAAATTAATTTAACATACAAACAGAAAGTTACCAAATCCAGCACTTCAGTACTGTACTTCAGTCAGAAGACCCAAGCTGCAAACTTTATTTCTGTGTACTTGAGTAAAATAAAGTGCCAACAGCAGCTGCTCATTAATCTACTGTATATAAACTTTCTTCTTCACAGCCCTAGTGCATACATAATTTGGTCCGAGCCCCTCAGCCCTAATTTTCACAACCTAATTGATTCCCCCAAATCACCTATGCTAAGCTATTCAAGTGCTTAAAATACTAAATTAAGACACTTAATTCAATTTAAGTTTAGCTTTAGTGAGGTTTTTTCTTGAGGTATGAATTTTAACTATCAAAAAGTCCCACCACATACGAACCACAGATTTTGGTTTCGGGTGTGAAAGCCTGTCAACAAATACTCAACAGCTATTACTGAATATGCAAATGCATAATTGGATTAAGTGCAAATTGCATATAAATGCCACAGAATGCATTAGCTCCACAGTTTTGGCAACCGTTTGAAGAATTTAATTCCAAACTTTTGAAAAATACTTGACTGCTACTCTGTTATCTTGATGGTATGAAAAGTGAGTAGAGTCGGTTTAAGACAGTTTCTTAAAAAAATAGCTTGTTTAAGGATAAAATCCATCTCTTTTGGAAATATTAACTCGTAAAATTCAGATAGCAACCCCCTCCCGCCCCCCACACACCCTGGTCTTACTGCTCTTTGGTGGTACAGTATAACCACAGTTCAGTATGTGCCTTATCTTTGGAGAAGTAAAGATTCCACTTTGATGATTTTGAAGGAAAAAACTTGAGTCTTAGTAGCTAAAAAGTACCTTCACAAAAATGTAAGAGCCAGTGGATGTAATACCTAGCTTTCTGTTTCAAAACTGGGAAGACTGGAGCCCTAAATACTGCTGCTACAGATATACCAGTCTCTAATGTTGCACTTATGACAGACGAACCATGGGTTATGACAATGAGACGATCGCCCTTTAGCAGCGTTGTAGCAGTGCAGTCTGGATGATGAAGGCTGTGCAAAAATGGCATTCTGAGGTCTCCCCTCCTCTCAACACCTTCCAATAATGGTGACGACAGGACTCCTAAAGATGGGACTGTGATGAGGATGATGAGGAGGAGGAGGGGGGCTGGGAGGGCAACAGGCTGTGAGTGCGTGAAGGTCGCTGGGGTCGCGTCTGCTGGGAGGCGGTCCCAGAATCAGAGGAGTCCAGGCCCGGGCTGCCTTCATTAACCTCTGTGTCCAGCTGGGCCGGACACTCGAAGTGAACACAGTGGAACACCTGAAGAGAGATCAGAGTCAAAACACCATTTAAGTTGATCTACTTTACCAGCCACTTACGATGCTAATAACCAGCAAACATAAATTAGGCTACTATTATTCTTCTAATAATCCAGCTGGATATTAAAATACATTAGGTACTCTGTGATGTGGTAGCTGATGGAGTGTGATTCATTAAAAGTTTGGTTTGTAAAAAGGGGCCAGCTACACATATTAACACAGATTAACTACATATGTATGATTTTGTGTTTCTTGTTGCCTGTTGACCATAATAAACTGTGTTTTCACCTCATTAGCTGTGTTGTGAGTCCCAACAATACGGATGAAGGAAGCAGGCTGCTTATCAAACTTCAATGTCTGCCATGATCTGTAAGAGAGGGCGGTAAAAACACAACACATCAATAATAAGGAAACATTCTGATTGTATCTACGTTTCCATATGTTTTTGTTTACTACATTTATAGTCCGTCTATTATGATTACCTTTTCCTGACAGGGCACTGATTATTGTTCATAGACTTAAGGAGAAGTTTGTTTGACTAATTGACTGATTAAGGGACAGAACATTCCCAGCTTAGAGAGAGAAAGTAAAGTCTACCTACCTATAGGAGCAACAGCTATTTTGCAGCTCATCTGCCAAAAACCTAAGACTTAGTCAGCAGTAGCTGGAATATAGCCAAGTATTTTTTAATCCTGTCCCCCTGAAGGAAGTGATTTTCAGACAAGCCTTCTCCTTCCTTAGCAAGGAACACATATGTCTCAAGGTTCCTTTACAATTGAACAAGCTTTCAGAAGAGATTGTGTACTGAAAGAAAATCAGCTAGTTCCTCTGTTTGTTTGTTTTTAAAGTTCAAGGCCTACTGGTATGAATTCATATTAACAACATATTGATAAGAAATGAACAACATATGGTATTATAATAAAAAAAGAAATGTATAAGCCATTTGTAACAGGTAACTCCTGCAATATGATCTGTAGATGAAATTCTGTACACAACATATTGAACTAATAGGCAATTGTTATGCCAAAACCACTGTCGCTTTGTAGCCTACATCAATGTTGTATTTTGCGGACATGTCTTTAGATGAAACATGTTCTTCATAAGCTTTAGTCATTCAAACATTAATATAGCAGGAAACAACTATTTGCTATGTGAAGATACAGTGAAGCCATGGTGTCCTGAGCAGAGAACGATGTCACACTCCCTTTACCTGTGTTGTTATCCCAGCCTGTCTGCTTTGTTTACAAAGCTAGTCCAGCCACGTGTGCATGTTAGTGCATGTGAGGAAAGTGACTGAAATATTGTTTGTTTTCCCCCCATCAAGCCGAATTGAAAACAATGGAAAGACTTACCAACGCACCGGTTTTGGTGAGATTTATTTTGTTTCTGTCCAGTTTGAATAAATGAACAATGTAATGAAGATATGCAAGGTAAAATGACGGTATTTGTTTATGGGGTCTGGTGGCGAGTGATAGCAGCATTGTGCCCAATTCTGGTTAAACATAAAATATATCTCTGTAGGTAGGGATCCCTTCCATAATGATGTCAGACACTTTGAGTAGGGCTGTCACCTTTAATCAAAATTAGAAAATTAATTCGAACATAGTTAATTTTCAAAGTGTAATGGCCTGTTCGATTTCAAAATGTACATCTATAGAATCTATAAGTGTAAGAGCCCGTTTGTAGTTGTTTGCATTGTGATCCAGCAGAGGGCACTCCACCATCAGCTTGACCTATAGCATGCCCTATTGACCTGTCAGTAAACTAAGCTGGGAATGTTATGTTGTTTACTAAGAAAATGTAAGAAACTCACAAGCAAAGCATAGAAGAGCAAAGACGTCCTGCAAGGATACGCAGCCCATATGTATAATAATCATATTATAAGGCAAATGTCTTTTTTATATGATTAATCCTTTAATATCGTCTTTATGTTATGTATTCCTGTGTGGTGTCATAAAGGTTTACATGAAAGGTTTCATTCCAAAAAATTCAGAGTCAGAATAACAATCTGAGTTTGTCAGTGGTCAAAACAAAACTTTTTTGGTAGATGTATTTTAACAGGTGCATTTGTCCTAAGGGTTAGTGTTTAACGTTAAACATTTAATGTTACATGCTGGCCATGGCGGCCATAGCCTGCAGCCTGTTCTGCACCATTTTCTCATCTAAATTGGTGAATTAAGAGATTATTTCATCCAAATCAGTGTTGGTGATTGTTGTTAAATCTGTGAAAAGATTGACATAGATTGTTTTGGTGAGTTTTATTTTGTTTCTGTCCAGTTTGAAGTGTGTTTGAGATTATCTGTTAGGTAAAATGACTGGTTTGGTCACAGTGCCCATTTGTTTTGGTCTGAGATGCTGGTGCTCTAGTGCGACATCTAGTGGCAAGTGAGTTTTGTACATATGACCTTTAATACATATAGTACCAAATCACTTCCACCGCTTACATTTCTAGATCAGAGTGTGAAGTTATTCAAGATGTCACCATCCCAGGTTTGACCTATTGTATCTGTGTTCAAGGAGTTCAGGTAACAAGGAAAAAGTCACTGTGTTAAAGGAAGAGACAGACAAGAAAATGGGAGCCTCACCGACATGCCACCCTGGTGCGGTCGATCACCTTTGTCCACTGTTGCTGGTTGGAGGAGACTTCAATGTAATAACTGTATGAGCGCTCGTCACAGTCCCACAGCAACAGCCTGAACAGGTAAAGAAAGTGAAACATGAGCACTATTTAGTTGTTTTGTACTTATTTGTATTAAAACTGTTAGAACTACCAAACCATGTACGATCTGTCATAAACCTGAAGCACCAAAAATGCTGCAGAAAATGTAATGTTCAAAACATTTTAAAAAGGGAATAAAATACAACTGAAGAAAAATTGTCTGTTACATTTTTGTTAACATTGTCACATTGTCAGTGTGTGGGATTTAGTGGCAGATTTCCCTTGTTTCACCCTCCCAAGTGTAAAGGAGAAACTATGGCTGTGCAAAACCCAAGACGTCCTATCTAGAGCCGTTGTTTGGTTTGTCCGTTCTTGGCTACTGTAAAAACATAGTAGGTCAACATGGCGTTCTCTGTGACAGGGGACCTGTTGTTGTAGATATACAAGGCTCATTCTAAGGCGACAAAAACACTCTTTTCAGGTGATTACAGACTAATAAAAACAGTTATACATATTATACTCCATTTCTGACAACAGACCTAAATGTTACACATTTTCTGATTTAGATGCAGATGCTTGTTCTCTTATTTATTGTGGTAGATCCAACTGCTCTCAGCTGGGTGAGGGACAAAGTTATTGTTTGATTTATTAGTGCAGACTTAACAATTACTTCACCAGATGTTGATGGTATCCAGAGATCTTTTCTTCTTTTTTTAAACCATAGTCAGAGTTAATGATGTGGTCAGATGTACCTCAAGGAACTAATGGAGTAGGGCTGAGCCAGCTGGATGACGATTGCTCCAGAGCCCAGCTGATGGCAGGTGTAGCCGGAGTCCCAGTCGTAGTTGCGCGTGTCACCGTTGAGCAAGGCATTTCTGCTACGGCTCACACCCTCAATGACACTGGCACACGATGCGATGGTCGCCACGTTCTCACCGGGAACTGCAGACGTTAGATGCAGGGTTATTGACTTGGTTTGTTATGATCTGCACTTGGGACCTAGTTGCCTGCATCTAGCTTGAACAAGTTAAACAAAGAAGAGGCTCAAACGTAATATAATGCTGTAATATGAATGCTAGACACATAAAATAAGTGCACTTATTAAAACAATTAAAATTACATATGTATTTAAGACAATTTTAGTTCCTGTACATCTGCAACTTACCCAAAAGTCCGTTCTCCAGGGTAAATGAGCGGTTGGTGAACATGCATTCAAAAGCCACGAGATGGAAGACCTTGTTGACTGTGTTGTGTGTTCCCACAATGCGAACATACCTGAGACACAAAGAGCAACATCACATGTGAGAGAGCAGGAGAAGCAAATCTTTAAATACGACATGAAGGTACAACTCTTCATCTTGTCCATGTATTAGACCGTATTAGTGTCAGCTAGGTGTAGCTAATAAACTAAGTGGCTAACCGAGTGTATATTGATATGTATACTTTCATAGTTTGCAAATTAAATGTTGGTTGTGTTAATATGATGGTGCAGCACTATTGTTTCCTTCCTTAGGGCAAGCTTGAGTCAAATCCTCTGACATCTGTTTTACACACTGTTATCACAAACCAGGGATGCCCACAACACATTATTAAATTTTTTCCCCAAGTGTCTCCAATGTCCCAAAATACTATACCAAAAACGCTTGAAAATATGCTTCTCTGTCCTCTGCCAAGCAAACATCAGTGTGGTTTGTAAACACCGAGAATATAATCCCAATCAACTACTGACAACAAACTCAAAACACACTGTAATTGCACCAGGTAAAGACAAGTCATGGCAAAGAGCAAAGACAGGCCTTTCATGCTTGGCAAAAACTGCAGAGATGGAATCAGATTTGTTTTAACACGTCATGCAACCAAGCTCTCCAGACTGGCAAGATGACAGAACACCAAAAGATAGTGAACTTGTGAGTAGTAGAGTTTCTTGTTTACAAGTCCTGGTTTTCTTGTAAATAAGGGTGGTGAACATGCATAGAATGCTACAAAGGGAGGGACTGTTGGTGTAACTGAACAGGGAGCCAAGAGGTTTAGTTTAATTTACCTGCAAACTCTTGGAGTGAAGTAAAGATTCTGCCATGAGCGGCAGAGATACTTGGAATGGTCCACGACACGCACCCAGTCCAGCTCATCCATAGATACTTCAATGTGATAGGAGTAGGACCTTAAATAATCAAGAATGACATTTTAAATCAGTACACAAACTCAGACTCTGATTGTCATAATTATATAAAGCCATTATAATCAGGTTCATTAAAAAGCAAAACAACTATATACGTGTTCAGAAATGTGCCTGGAATTATTAATGGAATAAAAATACAAGAAACTTTCCTAGTTTCTTCCTCCAAGTTAAAGAGTCCCTAAAATGGGTTCTGTCAGCAATCATTTTGTAAGAACTTTTTCTATTTTGGAACAACACAGTTCAACAAAATACCACCAAAAACAGACACAAACAAAAACAATATTAATTTTAGCCCTCTGATCACCTTGCATTGTTGGAACCAATTAAACTACATATCAGTGCAGTCAGTCAATTATTTTTGAACTTGAATATGCACTCCAATATTCAATAAAAACATTGTGAGTTATACGACATATGTCTAAAGATAAAATTCAAACCCTGCTATCCTAGTTTGAACTTCTTTGTGTTTGTTTCAGCAGAATGAGACAACCCTGTCTTACCGGCTGTCTCTGTCCCACAGCAGCAGGCGGACGTGGTTGATGATGGAGGGCTGGCCCAGTTTGACCTGGATGCCGGCCCGGCCGTCCTCTTCTATGGGATGTCTGGAGAAGCCATGGTCCAGGTCGTAGTTCTGGGTGTCTCCGTCCAGCAGCGCCGACTTCAGCTCCCCTTTTACCACCTGAGCTCCGTACTTCATGGTGGCAATGTTTTCCTCTGGGACTGAAACCCAAGAAAAAGATAAAACATGAAACACATATAATATATGAAAAACACAGAAATAAACTGTATTCCATTTTTGATTTTGATGTTTGATGTGATTTATAGTAGTAATAGCAGTAAGCGGATGGAGGGGTAAGAGCACTAACTCAGCATGCCACGGTAGTTGAGGTCCATGTTGCGGCTCTCGGAGCGGGTCTTGATGGCATCCAGCAGGTCGTCTGGGCTCAGCAGGCCGGACGGTCGCACCACGTTCAGCATCTCTGTCAGAGTCATAAGGGGTAGCCGAACTGCTGCCATTACTTCCTGGGTGTCGGTTCCCTCCACGTGCTGACGGCACCAGCGACACAAGGCCTGGAAGATCTCTTTCTCAGTGGCAGCGAACGAGTCCCGCCTGACCACAGTCAGCAGAGCAGTCTGCAAATAAAAAGATATTTCAATCAAATAACTGTTGGAGCCAAAAATACCACAACATGTAGTGGTTACAGCTTCTTAGTAATGAATATGGGCTTGTTTTCCTGCATTTCATTTTTTTTTTTATTTTACTGTTTGTAGTTTACAGGATTGTTTTTGTGTCGTTAGCTTAGCTGAAGTTACATTAACTGACATGCTGGACAAATTCCAATCTCCATCCTAAAGCCTAAGCACTGAACCCACCTGGTAAGTGCTTGAGTGTGAGAGGCTGCAAGGGTCTGAAATTGCATAAATAGGAATGGGACAGCATTTTGTGATATATCAGGGACATCTTCTGAAACACTTCTTAAAACATTCTAACACACCATTTTATTTACAACACGTCTTATGTTTGATTATAAATACATAAAAGTAAGTTGATTATGTTGTGTTAATATATCACTTTACCTTGACTAAAACATGTTACATAGCCTTTATTTGACTCTTTATACTTTTTTTCTCTACAAAAGAACTTAAGGGACCAACTACCTGAATTGAAAGTCTTCCAGAGCAGACAAGAAGTTGCTGTCAAATCAGCACAGCATCCTAGACTTACATGTAAACTTCTACCGTTTTTTAATGATTCAGGGCTTCCCCTGGTAGCGTATGGGTAATTCCCTGAGGCAAACTCTGCAGAAATGCAGACTTAAGGAAAGTGCAGATAAGGGGATCAAAAGCAAGAGAGCCATCGTGCACTTGACGACGTGATAGTGGGACAGGCATAATCCTTTGCGAATTTACCAGGAACGCAGCTCAAAGTATGCGAGTCTGCAAGAGTGGAGATTGGCCCTGTGGTTTCATACACATCTGCATTAAAGACTAAACTCATCTTGCACTGTCTGGTAGACATCACTTACCTAAAACTAGAGGTCACTGTATCTTAGGTTTATGTTGGACACATGGTGATGTCTGGAGAAATGAAGGCTACTCTAAATGTCAGAATGAACCAGATGCAATCATGATTACAACTCTTCATACACCATTCTGTAACCCCGCAAACTCTTACCTTGGAGAGCATAAGGAAGCCGTCAGAATTCAACACTTCAGGTGCGTGTCTGTCCATATAGGCACAGCAGGCAGCACTGAGTGCGCTCAGAGAGTACAGACTGGCCACATCAAAAACCAGGCAGACGTTGTTGGTGTGCAGGATGGTGCGGAGGAACTCGGAGGTGGAGTCCTCCAGTGGCTGGAGGCCGTAGCGGTGAGCCAAGCCCAGGAAATCAAGCAACACCTCTTCCCGGGCAGAGCTGAGGCTGGCCCGGCCCGTGTACAGGTAGTTTAGCAGCATTGAGAAGGCTTCGGCTCGTGTCTCCTCTAGACAGACCTCCGCCTGGGGCTGGGACTCTTTCATCCCGCCGTACAGCAGGGCCCTAAAGGAACCAGAGACATTTCAATCAGTCCTGCTCTTACAACCGTTGTACTGTCTACACCAGCTGCCAGAAGTCAAACAACAACAACAACAATACATTCTGAAGAGCATATTGAATAACATGGTGTTAGGATTGTGTAAATCACACGTACACTGTAGTATTAAATGATCCTCGTGTTGTTGTTTGTGTGTTTGGAAACGTTGTCAAATTGCTGGCAGATACAACACTAACATCAAATGTGAGCAATTTAATTTGTGTGTCACTGTGAAAGGAAGCATTTTGGGTGATATATAGAAATAGGGAGCCCACAGGATCAACACACAACCAACTAAACCCTCACCAATGAGAAGCTGGAAGTAAGAAACGTCTGGCTGCTTATAAATGACAATGACTCGATTGTTTCAGCTGTTGTTTGTGGATTTCAACCGCTGTCCGGATGAGATTGTGTTCATAGGCTCACCACAGGATCCGTATGAATGACACTGGTGTGGACATTTACCTGAAGTAGTGACAGCGAGCCGCCAGGATGACCCGGTGCGCCGGGAAGCGCTTCCCCTCCACGACGAAGGTGACATCGCTGTACTCCTCGCCGAGCACCAGGGCTCCGAGCTGCTCCGACAGCAGGTGGATGTGGTCGATCTCCGACACGGAGGCCAGTGGACGCAGAGGGTGGCTATTACTCATGGTCGACGGCTGCCAGAGTCACATCTGACACGGGAGTAAGCGAGTCAGACAGCTAGCTCAATGCTAAATGCTAACAAGAATGCCATGAAATCTCACGGCGGGTGTAAACAAATGTTAGATGGGAAGCTAACGTTAAGTTATTAAACCAGGTATTGTTAAGTGTCTGTTGTTGTTCGTATTCCAGTAAAAACAAGGTAGTAAACAGGTTTAAATAATGTTTTAGCGACAACTAGCTTTCTTGTTTACAGTCGCGGATATTTGACACCTGAACAGACGAGCTAACAGCTCACCGCTTTAAACTCACCGAGCAGCTCTCATTCACTCCTGTGTTTGAATAAAGATGTTTTTCCAAAAGACAGTCCCGGTTATTTTTCCACTGGGAAGGAAAATTCACCAAATTCAGCATCAAATTCCAACATCACACACAAACGGAACCCGATTCTGGGTCAACGGACATGCACTTCCGGTTCGAGGAACGGTTTTTCAAAATAAAGGCACCCTCCCAAAAGAGAGCCTTTGAACGAGTTCCGCTTGATATATAGTCCATGAGCCAGGGCCCCATCGGTATCATCTGGGGGGACAAAGTCTCATAGTGATTTTTGGCAAGGTATACAGCCCTAGTACTAGAAAAATCACGATAGCAGTGCAGGGGTGGTAGCGAAATCACTTTTTTCAGCTCATGAAGTTACTAACCCCCTAAGATAAATTCTGTTTTTGAAATCTGGTGTATATCTGGTTTAGGCTCATGGTAGGGATATTGTCAATATTCTATAATATGGTGCTTGGTATTGTTGGAAAGGGGACCTTTTAGGCTTTCATTTAAACCCAGTACTGAATCTGTCTGACAAACACAGAGGTCACATGACTTCTTTAAACCAGAAATAACACACATTTTCTCACAATTTCCGCCTAAACTGACACATTTTGAGTTTATCAATTAGCTCAACCGAGGTCTGTTTATAATATATCGCCTTAAGTCTTGAGTACATGCAATTCTAAACACATTTCAGTAGTGGAAAGTAACTCTGTACAGCAAGTAGGCTAATATTCTGAAGTACCTGTATGGTACTTATAATTTACAGATCGAGCTTTTAAAAACTTACAATGTACACTATACAATTATAACCCCAACAGTATGTAAAATGAGTAGATTTACCACCAGAACCAACATAAAAATGCTGCTTAATGATGTTAATACATCCCTAAAATATTCCAATAAGTATAATAAAGCAAAACACAACTTTGATGCCATTTTGTCTACATACAAGTACTGTTACACCTTTTTACTGGTAAGTAAGACTTTTACTTGAATCTGAGTGTTTTTACATTGTGTTTTTGCTTCTTCTGCTTTTTTTTCTTTAATAAAAGGATGTGAGTTTTTCTTCAGCCACTGCAAACTGACCAGTACACACAGAACAACCCTGATGAAAATTATTTTGACTTTTTAAGCATTTCACCAATAAGGTAACATAATAAATGAATACTATAATACAGTTTTACACATTAGATTTGTGTGCCAACACCCATTTATCCCAGGACACAGTTCCCCAAAAACCCTGACTGCTATCATTTGATCATGATGATTATACATCAGCATGACACAAAGACATTTTAATCCATCTGAATTTAACCACTGTGCACGTCTGTGTCTCTTACCTCTGCTGTTCTCAACCTTTTAAGGTTCAATAAACTAGTTGTTTCTTTAAGAGAAACACATTATTTACATCTTGTGAACACTTCCTCACAGTGACATGTAGCCTTTTTTTTTTTTAAATTTGAGCCGCCTGTGTTATTGCATAACTTCCTTCTAGCTTATTTGTTGCAATATGAGTCCAAGTTACTGCAGTTCCATAGTTGTAACTGATTTTGTTGTTTACTACAACTTTCAATTATGTCACATCCCACCTCCTTTTCATTTGATGTGAATGCTTACCGGGATGTTCAAAGCCAACTGAACTAATAGGTTACATACTTGGTGAAATTGATACAAATTATAAGAGAAGGAACTAAACAGAAAAATATGACAATAAAAATATCAATACAATTTGAGTATACATCCATCACTGGGCACAATAAAGTGCCCAACAGCAAGTTCATCAAGCAAGATGTGTTTGCTCATTTACTTTTTGAGCAACCATCCATATATACAGTATGTTAAGTTATTATGTCACATTATGTTTACATTCTTTTTACAATAATCAATCTTGAAAATGATGATAAAAAAAACTTAAGAGAAATTAGGAAAGATCTGATGACATGAGTTTGTTTGTTTGGTTATTTGATGGTAGCGTAGAGATTGCTGGGATCAATTGAGGAAGTTTTTACGGTCGTGTAGGTTACAGCATCTCCTTCATCGTCATCCTTTTTACTCTGAACCTGGAAGGAAACAGCACAATATATATTAAACAACAGGAGATGACATAGCCTCAGTAATGCATTACAACATTATAAAAGATAACGGTGGAAAGGAACACTATGCAACAGTGGAACACAACATACAAAACAACACAAAGAATCAACAAATGTGACAAAATACAAAGCAACATTATCATTCAGACGCACACTTTTCCTGTAAACAGGTGTGCATCTGAATGCTGAAATTGAGACATTCCTCAAAACCAAACAGACAGCTTACCTGGATTTTACTGTTGGTCTTATTGGTGAAGCTGATGGAGGCGTAGGAAACACCATCTTCAGGATCAGCCTACACAGAGAAGACAACATCATGGCTGCTCAGTAACATGTGGATTTATACTGACTCACACTTCTAACTTTATTCCATTTTATTTTAACATTATTTGAATTTGATTACTTCATGATTCATCTCTTGCAAGTGATGTCTCAAAATGTTGTAAATAGTTTATTTGTAGTGGTTTGACCTCTAACCTCTGGTTTTAAAACCACAGTTTGACACTCATGTTCTCTTCTGCTGTAGTCCAGTTGCATCATCTAACTTCCCTTTTTATCTTTACTGCACATTCTCACACTCTCAGTACTGTACAGAATGTAAAATACAGTTATATTTCAGAGAGTGTAACTTTGTACTGGGTGTAGTGTGTGATCTCACTGTGTCCTGACTGGTTTCTGGAGCAGACTGAGTCTCTGCAGGGTTTGAGGTCAGTCCCTGGACAAACACAAGAAGCATCTTACAGTTCAGTTGATGCACATGTTGTCAGGGTACAATACAAACAGCTCCTCTACAATGTGTGCAATATATCTGTGCAGGATTCAGGTACAGGTAGTGTGATGGGAGTGTCAGAACATCTTCAGATCTACAACTTCAGTCCAGTGGATGAATTCAATTTGACTTGAGACGTAATTCAACACAACCAGCACAAATACTGTCTCTATAAAGCTTATAATGTTCAGTTTGTGTTGACAGTGTGTCAGAGAGGAGTTGATTCAACTCTGCTGTTTATTTCCTTGACCTTTGCTGCTGCAACCACAACACAGTCAGTACTGTTTATCTTATCTTATCCTTTCTCAGCTATAGGATCAAAATTCATAGAGACGACAATTTTTAAACTCACAACATTGTCATTCATCTTTGTTTTCTTCCCTGAAAAGACAAAAAAGAGAGTTAACTTTATCTTACAAAGAGAAAATCCAGTTTTATTCAAACTTCGTATTCATAAAGGTTTAATCTGTGCTGTCACCTTTAGTTTTCTTCCATCTGATGACCTTCCAAACTATTATTACAAGTGCCACTAAAACCACAGCCACAATGAGGAACACCCACCACAAATCTGGAAAGATAATGAAAATATTTGAAGCCTTTTGGCTGCAGCTTTCTTTTCTGTTCAAGATCATTTAGCTAAAGGTGAATTACAGTTAAAGGGATTTTAAAACTTGTTGAAACATTCATATAATAGATTTAACCAAATCTCCACAAACACCTAAGAAGTACAACATAAACTGTTTTAACCTTACACTTAATTTGGATGTGTTCAGTAAAGTAAAACTAATAAAACTCTTCTTCTCTTCTTCTTCTTCTTCTTCACCACCCTTTATTCTCTTTCAAAAAGGTTTGTTTGTTTCTGTACGAATGTAAGAAACATTTTAAAATACTTTTCCAAAAGCCACTAAGAAGAGCATTTAAAAACATTCAACCATTTACTAATGAAACAACACAAAGTGTCAGTATCTTAAAGTCCTGCATGTCTTTGTCACCACACAGAGAGAGAGAGAGAGAGAGAGAGAGAAATTGTAGAAGCAGACAAAAATGTGGAGTCACTACCTTTTAGTACAGTTGAAGTATCATTGATTAGAGATGGTATCAAGGTGGTTCCTGCTTTTATGCTGTTTTCAGTTGTTGTTGTTGGTTTTGTGTCCTCACCTGAACAGATAAACAAAACTCAACAAACTGTTCAAAACTTGTGTTGTGATATAATATTAAAACATCAAATCCATACAAATATTAACGCCAGTTTGATGTGACTTTAAACAGCTCAACATATTCTCACCTGGTTTCCCACCTGAGGGCTGAAGTCTGAAGGGAAACTGCTGCACTTTGAAAGCATCAGTCACTGCACACTTCAATGAGTTAGAGTTTGATGTGTAAATGTAATGAGAAGTCTTAAAGGTCACAGAGACATTGCAGGGAGACTGTGATGTCTTCACTACTTGGTTATCTTTATCCAGATCTTGACCCTCATTCAGCCACTTCACTGTGTGTGTACATCGTCCATTAGTCGACACAGAGCAGCTTAATGTCACCTTATCAGAGTCCTTATGTTCAGTCACTGGTGAAGATGGAGATATTGTGAGAGAAAGACAACAAGAGTAAAATGAACTTCATCACTATAATCATAATTATTGTAATGTTTCAGTATTTTGTTCTAACAAGACAGTTTGAGCTGAAAACATTATGATGTAAATACTCACTGGTAATAACAGACAGATCAACCACAGAGTCTGGACCTTGTTGTTGTCCTGATATAAACTGTCTGCAGGTGTAACGACCAACATCCTCGACTGTGACCTTCTTTATAACCAGAGAACAGTTCGCTGTAACACTCAGTCTGTCTGATTTAGAGTTGGTGTTTTTACCAATCTGTCCAAGTGTAACCAGCTCTACTGCTGCTATTCTTCTTGAACCACTGAAGAGCCATGTTGTACTGCCACAGTTATTCTGATCCTTTATCACATTTTCACAAGACAAAGTGACGCCATCTCCAGCTCTGACAGTGAAGGAGAGATAAAGCTGTCCGGTTGCTGCTGCTGAGAAGATGAGAGAGAAATATAAAGGATGAAGAGAAATAAAAATATGACTATTAATGTCAGTTTGAGGATCATTTTAGATCCAACAAAAGTTTGTATATGTGCCTCATCCTTGGTTTACAAGAGTTCAGTAAACTCACCATTCACCTTGCTGGAAAACTAACAGACTACTTGTCTGTCTTTCTTAAAGGAAGGTTTAGTCGTCATACAGTAACATTAAATATAATAAAATTAATGTTTTTGTTCTTTATATACATGTTATATGTATCCTTACCTGTAAAGTGAAGCACCAGCATCAGAAATAAAGACATTTTAATCCATCTGAATTCAACCATTGTGCCTCTCTGACTCTCTGCTTCTTGTACTTGTAAGTCTCTAAACTAGAGCTCCTTAAAGAGAAATGTTGAATCTACTTCCTCTAATTGTGTCACTTCCTCATAGTGACTATGGGTGCTTTTCATTATGCTACCGTGTCTCCTCGTTCTCCTCACTTGCTTCCTTGGACCACTTTTGATAGATACTGACCACTGCAGACTGGGAACACCAAACATTAACAGGTGATACAAACATAACAATAAAAATGCAAGCATCTGTAACTACAACCCAACACTTATTCCCTGACATCAAATTCATGAAGCAAAATGAAGCAGGATTATATTTATTTACATTTCAAACAGTCATATAATGTGTTATTACCAGCGGTGAATTGTTACGAAGTGCATTTGCTCAAATACTGTACTTAAGTACAAATTCCAGGTTCCATTTATGACACTTTATACTTCTACTCCATTACATTTGTCTGACATCTTCAGTTACTAGTTACCTTTCAGGTTACACTTTCTCATACTCTTCCTGTCCAGTAAGGAAGGAATTTTCTTTATGGGTTGAGAAAATTCTTCTTCATCTCAATCTAAATAAACTATTTAAAAACCTTCTTGAATTGGCTGGAAAATGCATTGTCACAACAATATAAACAGTGGTGTTTTTCTGAGCTCCTGTAAAGTTTTGTGGTTCTTAAAGCACAGCGACGCCACAGACATATGATGATTTCACAGAATATGATGCATTGCTGTAGATTAAAATACCCAACAGTATATAAAGTAGTTAAAATGAGCTCAACCTTAAACATGTACAGCAGTAAATTGCAACATACACAGTAATGCAGCAGTAATATGTACTTTACTTAAGTAAGGTTTTGAATGTAGTTTTACTTGCAATACTAAGTATTTAAGGAAAGGATGTATATAATTCTTCCTCCACTGGTTATTACTTCTGCTTTTCATATTGTGCTACTAGTTAACCTACTACTCCCCCTTCTGGACAAAAAGGCTCTTTACAGCAATAAATCTTGAAAATGATCATCTAATACAGAAACACAGTCAAACATTTATCAGTATCAGTTATCAATGTAAAATAAGTGTGATGATATGAGCTGTAACTATACTGTGGTCTCTTATTTGTTTGGTTCCTTCACGGTGGCGTAGAGGTTGCTGGGATCAGCAGAGGCTCCAGCAGAAGAAGAGGGAGCTTTCACAGTGACATAGGTCACTGCTTCATCATCATCATCATCACCTTTACTCCGAACCTGGAGAACAAGACACAAACACAACACATAAATTACACAGCATTAAATTACACAGAATAATGCAACATTCTGATATCCAGCCACAAACAGTGATTCAGTAAAGTCAGTTCAGTTTAAAGATTTGGTGTTAAAGATTTGTTTGTACATGTCCTGAACACCTCTGGTCCGTAGTTTTTGAGATATTTAGTTCTGGACCAAAGTGTTGGACACACTGACTTCACAATCCTTCCATGTAGACCTGAGCTTTAATGGTAAAATAAAGAATCTTTCCTGTTTTTATTACCTGAGAAGTGTCTTCATTCACTACCATCATCACTATAACCAAACAGACAGCTTACCCAGCCTTTACTGTTGCTCTTCTTGGTGAAGCTGATGGAGGCGTAGGAAACACCATCTTCAGGATCAGCCTACACAGAGAAGACAACATCATGGCTGCTCAGTAACATGTGGACTTCATTGTATTCTGTTCATTCTGTCACTGTGTGTCTCACAGAGCTACATTTTGCAGTGTAAGTTTGTACTCAGTGTAGTCTGTGATCTTACCGTGTCCTGACTGGTTTCTGGATTCACTGCAGGGTTTAAGCTCTGTACCTGAGAAACATAATAAAATAAAATCTACTTGATGACACTGTGAGAGAGTAGCTGATTCAACTCTGTTATAACTGTATAAACATTTGATTCCTCAACCATAAAACTCACGTTGTTTGTATTATTTTGTGATTTTTTTCCTGAAGAGACAAAAGAGAGTCGACTTTAGTTTCCACAATAAAAATCCTGGTTGATCAAAACTTCTTGTTCATAAAAGTTTAATCTGTGGTTGCTCTCACCTTTAGTTCTCTTCCATCTGATGACAGCAACAATGATTATTAAGAGTGCAGCAAGACTCACAAACACAATGATGAACCATTGCCAAACTGGAAAGAGAAGAATAACATTAAAACATGTTTAGCTGCAGCTTTTTGCTTTGTTGATCATTCTGTAACTAAGAAGAAAGCGTCTAATTTGTTATTAATTATTTTGTGTTGAACTACATCATTATGTTTCCACTTTACTGTCTTCTTATTATTATCATTTTCCTTTTCCTAAACATTTTCTTTACTCAGTACTTTGGTAGTTGATCCAATTCAAATATAAAGAAGATTTTAACAGATTATAGTTGGAAACATGAGCAACAACACTGTTGGACTGACTGAACAAGAGAATATCTTCACCCAGAGCAGAGTGTCGCTCTGACATTCATACTTTACACTTCAAAAGAGAAGAGAGAGTAATTACATTTCAGTATCTAAATGGCTCCTCCACTACATCAGTGCTTGTAAAAGACTTGTACTCCAGCATTACACATGTTTTCACTGGCTAAATCAATCAAAGTTCTTTCGATCACTTATGTTTTTGGTTCTATACCACGATGAAAGGAGAAAGTGAGTTAATTAACAACCTCTCTTCTTTCTTTATATTGCCACAAAAATACACATAAAACATCTGCACAAACATGGATACAACAATAAAAACAATAAAATGAGTTCAATATGTGGAGAGAAAGAGACTGACAAGAAGAAAGAGATTTTAAAGAAAGACCCTTCTGTTGTAACTGATGTTGAGCTGTTTTCAGTTGTTGATTTAGTTGCTTTTGTTTTTGTGCCACCTGCATGAATGAAATAACACAACCCAAGAAACTGTTCAGTGAGAAAACACCACGTTAACCATGTTCAACAAAAGTGTTTCAAAGTTTAAAGATTTTTATTCTAATCAAACTGTTACATTTAGTCCAAACCTTCATCCAGTAAAAACACAGTCTGCAACTAGTTTGACAAATGAAACAATATAAAACAGAGACACAACATGTCTGTCAGGATCTGAAGTTCACTTTAGCTGGTGCGGCTCTTTGATAAATCTGAAGTGTACCCATCACTGCCTGAAGATCCAGCTGCTTTTTAACCAGCACTGATGCATCATCTGCATAGGCTGAGACAACATACTATAGGAGCCTTAAAGCCTAACTGTAACCCAACCCAGCCTTAAACCTTCTTGCATAGCAAGGACAGCAAAGGCTCAATGGCAATTGTATATAATTACCCCGGATATAATTGTCGGACCCCCCTCCCCAATGACACTGGTCTACATTGCCCCCCAGCCACCATGACCAGACATGAGGCCCCGGCATACAGCACCTTAACCTCAGCAATATTGATAAGCGTGTAAAGCCTTAAACACGAATCCATGATCCACCCTGTCAAAGACCTTCTCCTGATCCAGACTGAGGAGCCATATGTTCAATTCACATCAGCAATTTTTGCCAAGTCTTTCATATCATGCAAAAGATGCAGGTACTTGTGAACTGAACAGCCTGGTACACAGTAGGTCTGGTTACAGTCTATTACTGTCTTTAAGTGTCCCTTCAGCCGATTTGCCGGACTCTTGGAAAGAATTTTTAAATCCACACAGAGTAGTGCAACCGGCTCCAAGTTTCTCAAGTCAGTGTCAGAACTGCCCTGCATGGCAGATCTCCTGCATGAAGGCACTGGAGTTTGGGCCTAGTAACACTCAGAAACTCTGAACTAAGAATTCAGCTGGCAGCCCGTCCACCCCTTGGGAACGTCTGGATGCCATCTGTTTAGCTGCCTTGCTCAACTCCTGGAAAGTGACAAGTTACATTTTTCAGTTGAGGACAGTTGTGGTGAGTTCTCCAGCAGTGCTTCAGCACAAGCTGGATCGCACTCCTCTGCTGTGTACAGTCTCTCATAGAAGTTCACAGCTTCCTCCCTCATTTCACTTATCTCAGATGTACGTCCGTCAGATGCAAACACTGCATGTGCTTGTCTTCCCCCTGTCTCTTCTCCAGCCCAAAGCAAAAATGGCGAAGAGAGAGAGAGGAACCCAAATCCCTCCTTTTTTCAACTAGATTATGTCTCGGTTCTGCAGTGTTGTGTTCCTCCACATTTTGTATTCTACCTTCCATCCTTCTTCTGCAGTAGCAGAGGCTGTATACAGGCACTTTCCCACATCCCACCATGACCTCAGCGATTCTTTCTCTGTCTCCACACCACCCAAACATTTTTAAAACTTGAGCAAAACTGACAATCTTGCAAAAGCCTTACATTGAATTTCCAGGATGCAGACTGCCTGCGTCCTGTAGAAAAGTTCATATGACATTACACCATGTGGTGGTCTGAGAACACTGCAGGGGACTAAAGTGTCCAAACCAGTCAGTTATTTCCACTGAAAATATTTATCCTATCCAACCATGCTGCACTTTATCCATGTGAAACCTTTTTTGCCTGGATGTTTGACCCTCCATGTGTCTACTCATACACTGTTAAAATCTGCCTCAGTGAACCTTCCTGTCTAGATAAGGTTCAATTGTGCAATTAAACTAAAAGTTCTTCCTGCTCTATTCAAACTAACTCCTTCTTCAGATTCTCGAATAGCTCTGTCCTTTCCCTGCCGAAGTTATGTGTATACACACAAATACACACAGATACAGAGCCCCTGAATCCTAGCCTTCACTACCTACTAACAGTCTACCCTTACATACTTCTTCCTGTGCAATCTCATTAACTGCAAGCTCTGGTGCAAATAAAAGTGCAACTCCTGCACTCCTATTGGTGCCATGGCTTAAGATGTGGGTAACCCTCCAACATACCCCCCAATCCACCTTATTCACAACATCATTGTTTGTTTCTTGCAAATAAACAACATAAAATTGTTTTCTTTAACATAATCTAATGACATTCTCATTTTTCCCTAATCTCTGGTGCCATTTCTATTACGTGAAGCATAAACCAAGGGTTGATAGGCTTTGTGTTCGCCGACAGCCAGCAGCAAGTCCTCCACCGAGGACACACCTTAAGCCTTTTCTGAGTGTGAACTCCTCACTTCCACCTCAGCTACAGCAACAGCACTATTTACTCAATCCCCACCAAAGAAAAAAAGGAAAAGGAAGAAAGTATAAGGGAAGCAAAGAAAGTGAGGAAACAGAGAGAGAGAGAGAGAGAGAGAGAGAGAGAGAGAGAAAATGTTGACCTTTTAGTTCTGTTGAAGCATTATCATTTGTTGTTGGTTTTGTTGTTGTTGTTTCTTTTGTTGTTATTGTTGTTATTGTGTCCTCACCTGAACAGATGAACACAACTCAAAAAACTGTTCAGTACAAACCTGAAATACTATCCAACAGCACTCAGCTGGAGGAAGTTGAATTGTTGTGATGTAATATTCAAACTTTAAAACCATAAAATAAACAAATATTTGAGTTAATTATTAACGTCAGTTTGAAGTAACTTTAAACAGCTCAACATATTCTCACCTGGTTTCTCACCTGAGGGCTGAAGTCTGAAGGTCTGCTGCTCTTTGTTACCATCAGTCACTGCACACTTCAATGAGTTAGAGTTTGATGTGTCAATGTAATGAGAAGTCTTAAAGGTCACAGAGACATTGCAGGGAGACTGTGATGTCTTCACTTCTTGGTTATCTTTATCCAGATCTTGACCCCCATTCATCCACTTCACTGTGTGTGTACATCGTTCATATGTCGACACAGAGCAGCTTAATGTCACCTTATCAGAGTCCTTATGTTCAGTCACTGGTGAAGATGGAGATATTGTGAGAGAAAGACAACAAGAGTAAAATGAACTTCATCACTATAATCATAATTATTGTAATGTTTCGGTATTTTGTTCTAACAAGACAGTTTGAGCTGAAAACATTATGATGTAAATACTCACTGGTAACAACAGACAGATAAACCTGAGAGTCTGGATCTTGTTGTTGTCCTGATATAAACTGTCTGCAGGTGTAACGACCAGCATCCTCGACTGTGACCTTCTTTATAACCAGAGAACAGTTCGCTGTAACACTCAGTCTGTCTGATTTAGAGTTGGTGTTTTTACCAATCTGTCCAAGTGTAACCAGCTCTACTGTTGCTGTGCTTCTTGAACCACTAGAGATCCATGTTGTACTATCACAGTTTTTCTTATCCTTTATCACATTTTCACAAGACAAAGTGACGTCATCTCCAGCTCTGACAGTGGAGGAGAGATTAAGCTGTCCGGTTGCTGCTGCTGAGAAGATGAGAGAGAAATATAAAGACTAAAGAGAAATAAAAATATGAATATTAATGTCAATTTGAAGATCATTTTAGATCCAACAAAAGTTTGTATATGTGTCTCATCTTTGGTTTACAAGAGTTCAGTAAACTCACCATTCACCTTGCTGGAAAACTAACAGACTACTTGGCTGTCTTTCTTAAATGAAGGTTAAGGTTAAAGTAACATTCAATATATTAATAAAATGAATGTTTTGGTTCACCATATACATGTTATATGTATCCTTACCTGTAAAGTAAAGCACCAGCATCAGAAATAAAGACATTTTAATCCATCTGAATTCAACCATCGTGCTTCTCTGTCTCTCTGCTTCTTGTATTTGTAAGTCTCTAAACTAGAGCTCCTTAAAGACAAATGTTGAATCCACTTTCTCACATCAGTAAAATGTCACTTCATCATAGTGACTATATCCTCTTTCTTTTCTCACATACATCAGTTGTTGCTTTTATTGGAGACAGACCATCAGCTTTTACCTTCCTCCTTCACTGACACGAGTTGAAGTTCACACTGACCGAAAGCATCTGGAATTACCACCACTGGATATTGAACCCTTTGGGTCTCCACTGTTTCTATCAGCTGTTTGATTCAAGTCTCAAAACTGACTCAGTCGGGGCGCCCAGATAGCTCCCCTGGTACAGCTGGCACCCCACGTACCGAAGCTGAGTCCTTGCTGCAGCGACCATGGGTTTGGGTCTGAACTGTGGCCCTTTGCTTTTGTCATTCCCCCTCTCTCTCTCTCTCTCCCTCCCCCTTGCTTTTACTATCCCTTAAATGCAATAAACCCCCCTCCCCCTGCAAAAAAAGTGATTCAGTCAAGATGAGCGTTGTCCCACTTCCTCTTAGTTTGCTTTAATTACTTTCATACCAGAACATCAAAAAGATCCTGAACAGAGATATAGATGTTAAAATTACTGCAAATCAAATACTAACAGGTGATACAACAATAACAGTGAACATCTTTAACTACAACCCAACACTTAGTGCAGTACTTCTCAAATAGTGGGGCGCGCGGTGTGAAAGGCAGGACGGACTGACGGAGGAGGAGAGATGGAGAAGTTTCTGACAGGAGTGAAAAGAAAAACGGAGGAGGTGTCAGAGGCAAGAACAGCAAGTGACGGTAACCGGCATAAACCTAATACCTAAGACCAGGAAATACGACGAAGCCTACATAGCCTTTGGGTTCACTGTGAATACGGTCGGAAATGAGGAAAGACCTGTGTGTGTTTTATATTTAAACACTGTGGCAGTGGACAGCATGAAACCAAACAAATTAAGACGGCACCTGGAGACCTTACACCCCAGTTATGTCAATAAGCCACTGGACTTTTTTCATCGGATACTCGATGAGTATCGCCAACAGGCCGGTTATTTAGTGAACAAAGTGCATCAGTAAATAAAAAATCACGGTTATCCTCGTACAAACACCGCCACATCGCAAGGTGCAAAAAACCATCACACAATAGCAGAGGAGCTCCGGCAGCATTGGACATGGTCACAATCATAGGTGAGAAAAGTGCTGAGACGCTGAATACTGTCTCTCTTTACAATGACACGATCGGAAGACGTATATTTGACATTTCAGACGACCTCCAAGAATAACTCACAGAACATCTAACAGATAAACGTTAAATATAAACAATATTGTTACACAATAAATAAAAATGTGCATCCCAGTGAATCATTTGCACTTTTTCTCTGTTTTGAGAATCACACAGACTGAGCAGTCTTGTTTAAATGTTACAAATTGAGTTAATAAACTGAACTTGGAAATTGTTTTTAGTTGTTGCAGATGTAATCTCAGCTCATTTTATTAATCTATTTTGATAATCAGGTGATTGCATGCAGAATGCTGGTGCTAGCAACTCATACAGTGGTTTGTACAGATAAATAAATAAATATCATCAGGTTCTCAATAGTATTTCAATGGGGGGGGGGATTCTGTCCCCTGCATGACAGAAAATAATTGAGAACCACTGACTTAGTGCAAGACTTTACTTGTAGTGGAGTATTTTCACAGGCATATGCTGTAACAAACATATATTGAGACTTATATTGAGGCCCAAGTTCACACTGTGTCCACTCCCACTGTGTATTTGTGACAATGGCGTGTTTCTAGAAGAAGAGGAAGTTGAACGTGTGAAGATAGTTGAGATAAATGTTTGCAATAATGCACCTGTCTTTAGTGTTTATCAGAAAGCGGAAGAGGATTAAAGCCACATGTGTGAGAATTGATCCAAAATAACTCTTTCACATGTGGCGCTGTACTCTTCAACAGAAAACAGACAGGAGTCATGCTGATGTTTAACAGCACACATGAACAGACAGGTGAAGAGTCAAACTCCTCGTCCACCAGAGTTTGACTCTTGATGTCCATGGTGCAATATGGTGATACTGTAGCAGCTGCAAGGACACAGATAAGATGATGTTTTAGTGGTCTGAGATCTGTTTGTTCCTCATTGTTTCTTTGCAGTTTCTTAGAGGTAAAGGAGAAGTGCTTTAATGAGAAAGTGGTTAACAGCAGCAGCAGAGCTACACTGTAACAATCACCAGAAAACCGCTAGATTTTGCTAATCCTCTGTTTGTTTGTTATCTCACGATCACATGACCATCCAAGCTGTGTGCCTACCTCTCACTCTTTTGTTCTTTTTCTACCTATTTTCTCTTTTTTATCTCTCTCTTTTTACTCTGCCGGCTGTCCTCTGACCTCTCTCTCTCTCCAGGAGATTCAGCCTCTATTGTGCTCTCTCTCTCTCCCTCTGTGTGTTTATTTCTGTGTGAGTTGTGTGTTTGAGCTTTTCTTTTGTGAGTTTGTATAGTCTGTCCTCTTTCCAGCTCTCCATGGTGGAGAGGAGGTCATGTGACTCAGGTCAGTTGGTTGGTCAGTGTCCTCCCAGATCCACATTCTTCATGAATTCTTACAATCTAACTATAACTTTATCATCCTGATTATCCACACTGTAATTTTACTGTTGGTCTATTCTATACACACAACATCCTGTCTGTCTGTCCTGAGAGAGGGATCTCTACTCAGTTGCTCTTCATATAGCATATTCCACCCCTTTGAAAAATATTTTCCCTGCCCACCTTCCGAAATAAATGAGAAAATAAAAACAGTATGGCAAAGAAATAAAAGGATTTGTGAAAGGATTTCATTCAAAGGTTAAGTCATAAAGTAACATTAATTACATTAACAAAATGAATGGAAAGGGTTAGCTTAGTCAGTAGAGCTGGCGTTCCATGTACGGAGTTGCTGCAGTGGCACAGGTTTGAATCCGACCTGCGGTATCCCAAATTTCTCCTATACTAGGCCTATTATATGGCCCCCCTCATAAAACCTTGACCACCCCTTGTATAAAAGTCTAGTTCCGCCACTGCTGTCTCTTCTCCAGCCCAAAGAAAAATGGCGAAGAGAGAGAGAGGAAACCAAATCCCTCCATTTCCATCTAGATTATGTCTCGGTTCTGCAGTGTTGTGTTCCTCCACATTTTGTAATCTACCTTCCATCCTTCTTCTACAGTAGCAGAGGCTGTATACAAGCACTTTCCCACATCCCACCATGACCTCAGCGATTCTTTCTCTGTCTCCACACCACGCAAACATTTTTAAAACCTGAGCAAAACTGACAATCTTGCAAAAGCCTTACATTGAATTTCCAGGATGCAGACTGCCTGCGTCCTGTAGAAAAGTTCATATGACATTACACCATGTGGTGGTCTGAGAACACTGCAGGGGACTAAAGTGTCCAAACCAGTCAGTTATTTCCACTGAAAATATTTATCCTATCCAACCATGCTGCACTTTATCCATGTGAAACCTTTTTTGCCTGGATGATTGACCCTCCACGTGTCTACTCATACACTGTTAAACCTGTCTAGATAAGGTTCAATAGTGCAATAAAACTAAAATATCTTCCTGCTCTATTTAAACTAACTCCTTCTTCAGATTCTCGAATAGCACTGTCCTTTCCCTGCCGAAGTTATGTGTATACACACAAATACACACAGATACAGAGCCCCTGAATCCTAGCCTTCACTACCTACTAACAGTCTACCCTTACATACTTCTCTCTGTGCAATCCCATTAACTGCAAGCTTTGATGCAAATAAAAGTGCAACTCCTGCACTCCTATTGGTGCCATGGCTTAGGATGTGGGTAACCCTCCAACATACCCCCCAATCCACCTCATTCACAACATCATTGTTTGTTTCTTGCAAATAAACAACATAAAAAAAATTCTTTCACATAATCCAATGACATTCCCATTTTTCCCTAATCTCTGGCGCCATTTATATTACGTGACCAAATTCTTAAAACCTCCATGAGACAGGCCCAACAGGCCACCGTGATATACCAGACAAAAACATCATACTTCCATTCCTTCCATATTGCCACATGTCCCTGAGATATTTCAACTCATCCCATTCAACCCAACCTCCTGTTCCCAAAATCTTAAGCGTCTGCTCTAGAGATTTCAGATTCATCAACACTTGCCTTCTCAGGGACAAAACATGTTTCAACTCCAGACGACACTGCAGAGAGATCGGCAAATCCACTTGCAAACTTCCCAAAACGAGATAACCTCTTTGCCAAATCCTCATCATTGATAAAAGGAGGAGCATTGATAATCTGTGAAGCATCACCTAAGTTTTGATAGGCTATGTATTTACTGAAAGCCAGCAGCAAGTCCTCCACTGAGGTCTCCACATCCAGCACACACCTTAAGCCTTTTCCACCTTCCAACTCTCTGGCCGTAGTGGCCATCACCACTATTGTACCGAAAAACAACCCTCAGCTACAACAACAACAGCACAATGCACTCAATCCCCACCACCAAAGAAAGAAAGGAAAAGGAAGAAAGTATAAGGGAAGTGAAGTAAGAGAGAGAGAGTGAGAGAGAGAGAGAGAGAGAGAGATAAAATGTTGAGTCACTACCTTTTAGTTCTGTTGAAGTATTATCAGTTGTTGTTGGTTTTATTGTTGTTGTTGTTGTTGGTTTTGTGTCCTCACCTGAACAGATGAACACAACTCAACAAACTGTTCAGTGCAAAACTGAAATACTATCCAACAGCACTCAGCTGGAGGAAGTTGAATTGTTGTGATGTAATATTCAAACTTTAAAACCATAAAATTAACAAGTATTTTAGTTAATTATTCACATCAGTTTGAAGTAACTTTAAACAGCTCAACATATTCTCACCTGGTTTCTCAGCTGAGGGCTGAAGTCTGAAGGGAAACTGCTGCTCTTTGTTACCATCAATCACTGCACACTTCAATGAGTTAGAGTTTGATGTGTAAATGTAATGAGAAGTCTTAAAGGTCACAGAGACATTGCAGGGAGACTGTGATGTCTTCACTACTTGGTTATCTTTATCCAGATCTTGACCCTCATTCAGCCACTTCACTGTGTGTGTACATCGTTCATATGTCGACACAGAGCAGCTTAATGTCACCTTATCAGAGTCCTTATGTTCAGTCACTGGTGAAGATGGAGATATTGTGAGAGAAAGACAACAAGAGTAAAATGAACTTCATCACTATAATCATAATTATTGTAATGTTTCAGTATTTTGTTCTAACAAGACAGTTTGAGCTGAAAACATTATGATGTAAATACTCACTGGTAATAACAGACAGATAAACCAGAGATTCTGGACCTTGTTGTTGTTCTGATATTAACTGTCTGCAGGTGTAACGACCAACGTCCTCGACTGTGACCTTCTTTATAACCAGAGAACAGTTCTCTGTAACACTCAGTCTGTCTGATTTAGAGTTGGTGTTTTTACCAATCTGTCCAAGTGTAACCAGCTCTACTGTTGCTGTGCTTCTTGAAACACTGAAGAGCCATGTTGTACTGTCACAGTTATTCTGATCCTTTATCACATTTTCACAAGACAAAGTGACGTCATCTCCAGCTCTGACAGTGAAGTAGAGATTAAGCTGTCCGGTTGCTGCTGCTGAGAAGATGAGAGAGAAATATAAAGAATAAAGAGAAATAAAAATATGACTATTAATGTCAGTTTGAGGATCATTTTAGATCCAACAAAACTTTGTATATGTGCCTCATCCTTGGTTTACAAGAGTTCAGTAAACTCACCATTCACCTTGCTGGAAAACTAACAGACTACTTGTCTGTCTTTCTTTAATGAAGTAGAAGTCATACAATAACATTAATTATATCAATAAAATGAATGTTTCTGTTCTTCATATACTGTTATATGTATCCTTACCTGTAAAGTGAAGCACCAGCATCAGAAATAAAGACATTTTAATCCATCTGAATTCAACCATCGTGCTTCTCTGACTCTCCGCTTCTTGTACTTGTAAGTCTCTAAACTAGAGTTCCTTAAAGAGAAATGTTGAATCTACTTCCTCTAATTAGTAAAATGTCACTTCCTCATAGTGACTATACCCTCCTTCTTTTCTCACATACATCAGTTGTTGCTTTTAATGGAGGCAGACCATCAGCTTTTACCTTCCTCCTTCACTGATGGCTGACATGAGCTGACCTGAAGTATCTGGAATGAACAGCAGTGGAAATTGAACTCTTTTGGGTTTCCACAGTTTCCTCTCATTCAGCTGTTTAATTCAACTCTCAAAAGTGACTCAGTCAAGATGAGAGTTGTCCCACTTCCTCTGAGTTTGCTTTAATTACTTTCATACCAGAACATCAAAAAGATCCTGAACAGAGATACAGATGTTAAAACTACTAAATATCAAACATTAACAGGTGATACAAAAATAACAGTGAACATCTTTAACTACAACCCAACACTTAGTGCAAGACTTTTACTTGTAGTGGAGTACTTTCACAGGTACTGTAACAAACATGTATTAAGAGTCATATCGAGGCCCAAATTCACAGTGTCCACTCCCACTGTGTATTTGTGACAATGGCGTGTTTCTAAAAGAAGAGGAAGTTGAACGTGTGAAGATAGTTGAGATAAATGTTTGCAATAATGCACCTGTCTTTAGTGTTTATCAGAAAGCGGAAGAGGATTACAGCCACATGTGTGAGAATTGATCCAAAATAACTCTTTCACATGTGGCGCTGTACTCTTCAACAGAAAAACAGGAGTCATGGGAGTCTGACAGCACACATGAACAGACAGGTGAAGAGTCAAACTCCTCGTCCACCAGAGTTTGACTCTTGATGTCCATGGTGCAATATGGTGATACTGTAGCAGCTGGAAGGACACAGATAAGATGATGTTTTAATGGTCTGAGATCTGTTTGTTCCTCATTGTATCTTTGCAGTTTCTGCGAAGTAAAGGAGAAGTGCTTCACTGTAATCTTCACCAGAAAACCGCTAGATTTTGCTAATCCTCTGTTTGTTTGTTATCTCACGATCACATGACCATCCAAGCTGTGTGCCTACCTCTCACTCTCTTTCTTTCTCTGCCTATTTTCTCTTTTTTATCGCTCTCTTTTTACTCAGGTTCCTCTGTGCTGGACCACCGGATGTCCTCTGACCTCTCTCTCTCCTCATTCCAGATGTTTGCATCTTGATCTTGGACAATTCCCGGTGGCCCGGTCTGACTTTTGGGCCGCGAGGGCCGATATTATTTTTATGTATTTATTTATTTTGGGCCGGTGTTCAGTCATGGCACTGAGTGGGTATCACATGTATGCTGTCTCCACTTGCAGCTCTTTACTTTTTCTATTTTTGCAGACGCAGCCTGACGTAACACCTCCGTGCACACCGCACACTGTCAGTGGTGTTTGTAGCCTGGCTCCAGCCCCAGAAGTGCAAGGGTGTTTGCAAAATGGAAAATAAAAAGAGCAAGGGTGGCGCAGAAAAAGTGAGAATTAAAAAGAGAAACGCACTGGAGACAGATGCAGCCAAATGTGCAAAATAGGCAGCTTTTTCAATAAAACGTGCTCGCGGTCTGAAACGACCAATGAAGATGATGAAACGGGTAAGACAAGATGTTGAACAAAATGCAACTTCAAGTTAATTATTAATTAATAACATATAGCCTGTCGGACCTAACGTTACATAATTTAAATAATAGTATGATGCGACGCCACATAACTGGCCACAAACTTTGTCTTGTAGCCCCTCAGATGCAAGATGCATCACCAAGCACCAGCCATGAGCCCACAGGTCCAGAGTGTGCAGGTAGGATTGCTCATTAAGTGAATATTATTAGAATTAATATAATGAAGAGAATGGTGTAGACCTGCTCTATATGATAAATGCCCTGAGATAATTGATGATGATAGATGATTCAGCTCTACAATAATGAAACTGACTTGAATTTTTGACTTGAAAAAGGGGAGATTTGTGTTGAGATTTATGACCATTTTTATTATTTAGTGTCAGAGGCAGAGCCAGGAGCCAGTGGTGAGGAAGAAACAGGTGAGCTAGTGTGTGAACAAGCAAGCATCAGTTCCAATAAAACCACTTTCTATGCCCAAATGATAGTAGTGGCCCGTTATACTTTTTATCATTAGTAATAGTAAAGTAATATGGAATAAGCCTGCCAATTTTGCCATTGAACAAAATCTTAATTGGTTCAGTCGAAACATGTTTTCCATGTCAAATATGCTAAAGGCCTTACAGATTATTGGTTTTTATGTGATGCAGGTGCAGGCAGGTCTAGGGAAACTGGAGGAAGTGTGAAAAGGAGAGCAGAGTCTACTCAGGGACTGATTACAGAGGCAGCAGCTCAGCAGCGAAAACCCTGAACCACAAGATAGGAATGAGACAGATGAAGATGAGTCTGGTGATAGTTTTGACTACTTTGCTCGCCCTCAGTCACAGGATATACATATTTTTTTTCTTATCATCCTCAACAAACCCCTAATATTGCTATACCAAAAGTTTTCAATAGCAAAGATGGAACCAACCGCAAGTGGCTGACTTACTGTGAAAAAAATCAGTCTCTGTACTGCTCTGTTTGTCTAGCATTTGCACCTCTGGTTAGTGATGGCCCTTTCATAAAGAGAGGCATGAACGACTGGAAACACATTCACCAAAGAATAGTGGAACACGAAAAAAGTAAGACACACAGAGATAGTGCAGATGCTTTTTACAAAAGGCAGATGTGAAAAGCCTGTTGACTGGCAACCAAATGTCATTGCGTGCTGACCAAGTGAAACAGAAATGTCAGGTGATGGAGCGCATTGTGGATGTTATTAAAGTTATCAGAAATAAAGACATTTGAATCCATTTGAACTCAACCATCGTGATTCTCTGTCTCTCTCTCTCCTTCTTCTATCTCTTGTTCTCATGCTCATAACTGTGTGAGTTTATAAAGTAGTGCTTCAGTAGAGAGACGGTGCATCTACTTCCTGTGGTTAGTATGATGTCACTTCCTCATAGTGACTTTTGGTCTGATTTAGATTTTCGTCTCTGAATTTTTTATATGTTCAAACAGCCAAAAACTCTTATGCAGTTTTTACTGTTACATTTTGTTAATGTAGTTTTCTCTCAGAGGAAATAAATAAAGGAATATATTTCTGCATTCACTGAGCCAATCTAACGCTGTAACAAACAAACTATATTAAGACTCATACTGAGTCTCAAGTTCACACTGTGTCCAGTCCCACGGTGTATTTGTGACAATGACGTGTTTCACCTCCTGACAAGCAGAAGAAGAAGAGGAAGTTTAATGTGTGAAGATTGTTAGTTAAGATAAATGTTTGCAATGATGCATCTTGTTTTATTCAGATAGTGTTTATTAGCAAACAGACAGGAGTCATGATGATGTTTAACAGCACACATTAACAGACAGGTGAAGAGTCAAACTCCTCGTCCACCAGAATTTGACTCTTGATGTCCATGGTGCAATATGGTGATACTGTAGCAGCTGCAAGGACACAGATAAGATGATGTTTTAGTGGTCTGACATCTGTTGGTTTCTGATTGTATATTTTTAGTTGTTTCCTCTAAGAACTGAAAGATAATGTGGTTAACAACAGCAGCAGAGCTCTCTAAACCCTCTAAGGATGACCACATAAACATCAGAAACACGTGTGGATTACTTCAGGCCTTGTACCTGTTACCATGATGCTTCTGGTGGGTCAGTGTCAATGAATCTATTAAGAGTTGTACTTATAGTCGAATGAGAACACTGCAAACTGTCTGAAAACTGCTGCATATCTCTAATCATCTGATTGTTTCTTATCTCACAAGCAGATTAGCTTACTCAGGCTCCTCTGTGCTGTACCACCGGCTGTCCTCTGACCTCTCTCTCTCTACTTGTTCCAGATGTTTGGATCTGGATCTTGGTCCTCCAGGAGATTCAGCCTCTATTGTGTTCTCTCTCTCTCCCTCTGTGTGTTTATTTCTGTGTGTGTTTGAGCTTTGCTCTTGTGAGTTTGTATAGTCTGTCCTCTTTCCAGCTCTCCATGGTGGAGAGGAGGTCATGTGACTCAGGTCAGTTTGTTAGTCAGTGTCCTCCCAGATCCACATTCTTCATGAATTCTTACAATCTAACTATAACTTTATCATCCTGATTATCCATACTGTAATTTTACTGTTGGTCTATTCTATACACACAACATCTGTTTCCTGTCTGTCTGTCCTGAGAGAGGGATCTCTACTCAGTTGCTCTTCCTATAGTATCTTCCACCTCTATATTCTTCCCGCCCACCTTCTAAAATAAAAATTATGGCAAAAAAATAAAGGATTTGTGAAATTTTTTCACTTTTTAACACACATTTAACACACTATACTGCCTGCCATTAGGAATCCAAATTACAGCTCCAAGACGAAACTGAAAGAAGAGCAGGACTGAGATAAAAAGGTGCAATTACATCAGTCTGCTACTTCAGCACCACGGACAGCGCCATGGATTTATCAGTACACAGTACAGTTACACTACTGATATTTCACAGTCATGGTCGAGGCCATAGATTCTAACTCACACAAACCTTAATCAGTTCAAAGATCAACGTGTCCGACAGACTAGCCTCATATATTCAACCAAAGAACCCCTCTGCCCCTGCACTCTCTCTGTGTTACTGGGGGATGCAGAGAGGGATGTGCATTTTGGTCAAGTTGCTAACAAGGTTGATGGTATCCCCTCTCATGTCCTTCTCATAACCACTGGGGTCACTGAGATTAGTTGCAACAAATGGATAAACACTGATGAGTGGTGGTTGTGTTTGAGGATAATAAACATACAACAACCAACAATACCTCATTCATGGTTTTCAAGAGTTCACTAAACTCACCATTCACCTTGATGGAAAACTAAAGCTGTCTTTCTTAAATAAAGGTTCCAAAGGTTAGGTCAAAAAGTAACATTAATTATGTTAATAAAATTAATGTTTCTGTTCTTCATATACATGTTATATGTATCATTACCTGTAAAATGAAGCACCAGCATCAGAAATACAGACA